AAGTTAAAGGTTAGATGTACTTCCTTGGCACATTCAATAAGCATTCATTGAAAATGCATTTATGCATTTGATCGTCGAATATATTGTTATGTTGCATACTCCTAGTGATTGTAAGAATTGGGCTAGGATGACGTAGAACCATCTAAGTGCGAACTCTGTATGATAGTAGGGGTTGATCATTTCCCAGCTACTTACTATTGAACATGGAAGCTGGATCACTATTTAGATTAAGGACAATATTTAGAGTTATGAGAGTTAAAGATAGGGCTCAACTTTGCAAATTGAAATTTACCATGGTTTCTACCTTCTAGTTATCATCCTATTGTTTGATTGTGTGATTATCTTATTAAGATGTTCTATGTACGAGCATTGATAGCACATAGGAATGCTTCACTAGGCAATGCATCACACTTTGATCATATAAGCTTCATGATTATTGCATTCGTTTTTCATTTTAAGTTATGCGATCAATTCAAGTTTTTCATATTATTTTAAGTTTGATTTTGTTAGTTTAAGTTATCTGTATTAGTTAATCAATATTCTAGTTTTTCTTTATAAGCTACATGGACCTAATTCTTTATTTATTAGGAAACATAGTAGTTGTTAAAGAGAGAGATATATAGGTAACCTATGACTGCGGTCCCAGATTAGGGTTCCATATCCTATGCCCTGAGGTAAATAAATATACTATAGAATTCATTGTGTGTATGATTTAGTTAGCACGTGTTTGAATGAGAGACTTATTTTATTTCTTTTCCTTTTTTATTTATTTATGATTGTGACGGATTTTTTATAGGTCATTTTGATTGAAGTGCAAGAATCTTTATTGTAATTTTAGTGATGTATAAGGTTTAAGGATCTCTATATTTATAATTTGTAGTTGTCGTGATTGTTGCTCAATTTTTATCTCTATATTAATGATCCACACACAACTCATTTCATTCAATTCAATTTTAGATATATCACCACTATGTTAAAACCTCTCAACTACTTCTTCCTTACTTTCTTCTTCTATTCTTCCTTCCTTTTTATGAACTGTTATGGCGAAGACTTTGTATTTAGCCCTTCTGTGAACTGCTCTACTCATCATTGCGGTAATGATTGTAAGATATCATATCATTTTTTGCTTATGGATGCCACGATTTATAATTATTAATATTTTTCTGGTTATCGAGATTTTGGTATTTCATGTTCTAAGAATAAACCTATACTTAGAATATCGAATGGTAATTATTATGTTAGAAACATAAATTACACAAGTAATATCATAACCATTGTTGATATTGATGCAACAGGTCAAATATGTCCGAAGGCACTTCACAATGTTTCTTTTGGAGATCTACCACTAAATTACTCAAATTTAGATTCAAACTTTGCTTTTTATTTCAGTTGCACTTCCAACTCCTTTTCTTATTCTATTAATGATATAGAGTGCTTGAGATTCTGTACGTTACAGTCCTATATTGTTATGATAGAAGGTGGGATAGATGATGTTGATTGGAGTAAAAATTGTGAGGAGAAAGTGGTGGTGACGGTGATGAGGACGGAGATTATAGGTCGTGGTATGATCAGTGGATTTGGTAGGGTTATGAACCAAGGGTTCATACTTAATTGGAAGACAGTCAAAGAATGTGCTACATGTGAAGCTTCTCGTGAATTTTGTGGGTATAGTTATGCCATTGGAAAGCCTTTGTGCTTTTGTAGCGATGCACAAAATAACCGGTACAAAGGTATGGTTGCTTATTTCTTTTTCTTTCATTTTTTTTATATATATTTTCGATAAAAAATTTTTCATTTATATGTTTTCATTTTTTACCTTCTACATGATATTTTTAAAGTTTTTGAACTCCTTCTACATCATATTTTAAAATTTTTGAACTTAAATTGACTCACTCGTTAAAATCTAAAAAAATTAAATTATTTCATCATACTTTTTTTCGGAAAAGGAAAATTTTCATTGTATTACCTTAAAACATAATACTGGAACAAAGATTTAAGGATCGAATCGCAAATATCAAAACGGTCAAAATGAATAGAGGTAAATGAGTTTTCGATTCGCTTGATGCCTAATCTTTCATCACACTTTTAAAAGCAGCCGAGTTAGATTTAAAATAAATTTTAGGACGAGAATGCAATAGTTTCATATAATATATAATTAATATTAATATATAATATAATGGCATTGACCCTATCACTTAGGCTTAGGCCTATTGTTTGGTAGTTCACAGTGACCTATTATTGGGTTTAACAACAGACAAAATGTAGTCTACAAGTCACTAAAAACGGCTGTGTGGATATACATTGGCCAACCAAATTACACCAAGTGGGAAAATAATACTATTCATGCAAACTATTTTATATTATTCAAACGCATCATTTTTAGCATGCCTTTAACATTACTAATTCAAACTTAATTAATATATTTAACTTTTCCTATGATCGGGGCAATCAGTTCTATATGGATCTACACATTGTGTGAATATATAATTTTTTTTATTAATTTAAACATATTGATGATAATATTTATTAGAAAAAAGGAAATTGAAAATATTAAAAACATCATTACTACTTTATATTATTAGTTTAAGAAATACTATAATTAACATTATTAATTTAATTAATTATAAGAATAATAAATTGATATTGAAATGTTTATTAACTTAAAAAGCATATTAATGATATCTTTAATTTTATTAATTATTAAAAAAATAAAATGAAACATTTAACATTACTTATTAACGAAAAAAAATTGAAACCTTTTGAAAATATTAATGACATTATTAATTTTATCAATGATTTTAAAAAATATTTAAAATAACAAAAACTTTACTTCAAAAAAAAATATTTTAACTTCAAAAATAAACATTGCTTAAATACCATGAAACTATATATGATGATTTCTTGGATTATAAATTTTTAAATAATAAGATAAATGAATCCTTTCTTTTCTTTTTTGCTCTATCTACGAATTTATTTCATTATTTTTGTTTTGTTTCGAAAAACAAAAACATATGCACATTTGTTTTTCAACAGTAAAACAAACACTACTTATTATCTTTTTCTGTATAATTTTATTCGATGACCCCCTCTTCCTTTTTCTCGGAATTGAAATGGGAAATTACCTTGCCTATGCATTCTTTCTTGTTCCTTTCACCTGCATCCTACTTCTCTCAAATCCCTTTGATCTTTTCTTCTCTCAGTTTATGCCTATGAAATTGTAGAGCAGAAACATATAATGTAATTGATTTTTATCTCAAATAATTATTTTATTTATAAACGATAGGAAAAAAATTATTTCTCGCTGCTAAAAAAGATTCTTGTTGTTTGAATGCAAGAAAAATTTTCTATCTCAAAGGAAATATTCCATGATAATAATAGCTAGTGTTAATCAACAACGTGTTGGTCGGGAGCAATGAGCTAATTCACTCTTGATATATTTTACAATACAAATTTGATTTCCGAAAAATATGAAAAAAAAAATTACTATTACATAGGTATTATAATTAAGAGCAGCATTGAACAAATTCAATTTTTCTACATAAATTTTTCTTCACCTTAAACAGCTAAAGAATTAATATTTTTGATCTAATTAAGGTTCTAATGGCTGTATATTCGTTCATTTGTCGCAGCCAATGGCCCCGATCTGAATGTGCCTATGAAAGTTGGTATAGGTAAGGTGCTCCAATAGTTCTCCTTCCTTTAAAAAATAAAAAATAAATTAAAAAAAAAACAAAAAACAAAAATTAAAAATTAAAAAACAACTGAGCCTATATCTCAACATTCAAAATTAACCCTAAATTATAGATCAATTCAATATCATCCAACCATACAAATTGCTTTTTCTTCAAGTTTTGTTAATTTTTAAAACAAAATATTAAAAAATTAGATTTTTTTTCTTTGAAAGGAATATTAAAAAATTAGATAAAGTGACACTATTAAATGTGTTAACTTTTATTACATATTGCTGAAGTGCCTTTAAAATGAAGATTTACTGCACTTTAAGTTAGATCATAAGGTCCACTTTTAATTATTAACTTTTTGTTCAAATGCTCAAAGATATTATATTTTATGTACTTAAAATTGTCTCAATACTTAAATTAGTAGTGTGCCAACTTAAAAAAACTATCTGTTTCATTTTTAATTTCCTTATTGATATACAAGAAATATTTTATGGGAACATCTTAACATTCAACACTAAAAGACAAGATCAAGTTGGTTCACCAAACCTATGATATAAGATAAATTTTTTATGTCTAACAATCATAAAACCAAATGCACTCATAAATTAATCTCTTGGATTTTTTAAGGATTCTAGTGGTAGCATTTCAATTGTTTGTTTTTCTTTTTGCTGATGAAATATCACAAAATAAAAGATAATCAATTATCAATTAAATATAAATTTACAATCCAAAAATCAAATTGGTACCAAGAAAGTTTAATCCAATTTAGAAGGCGATTATTTCAATTTTTATAGAAATTAAAATTTTATATTATGATCAGATTTCTGTAATCCCTATTCATTTGTTGTGAACAGGCTTAGCCATTGGAGAAATTGGGATATTGATCACTTGTTGCCTCATTTATTGTTTCAAGAAAATTCCATTAGTTACATTAATAGTTTCCTTGAAGGAGAAAAATCAAGATTTTGAGGCATTTCTTAAAAATCATGGACCTCTAGCTGTGAAAAGATACAGCTTCTCAGAAGTAAAGAAAATGACCAATTTTTTCAACGATAAACTTGGCAAAGGAGGCTATGGAAGTGTGTACAAGGGCAAGCTACACGACGGTCGTTTTGTAGCGGTAAAGGTCTTGAATGCTTCCAAAGGAGTAGAGGAGTTCATCAATGAAGTTGCAAGTATTAGTAGAACTTCTCATGTTAATATTGTCACTCTTTTAGGGTTTTGCCTTGAGGGGCAAAATCGAGCATTAGTTTACAACTTCATGCCTAATGGATCTCTCGAAAAGTTCATAAGCTGGCGAAATATTTTGAAGACAAATAGTTATTTAGGATGGAAAATTATGCACAAAATAGCAATTGGAATAGCTCGTGGACTAGAATATTTACATCACGGGTGTAATACAAGGATTGTGCATTTCGATATTAAGCCTTCCAATATACTCCTCGATGAAAATTTTTGTCCAAGAATTTCAGATTTTGGGCTTGCAAAACTATATAATAAAAAAGAGAGCATCCTAAGAATGTTAGAGATTAGAGGGACTATTGGGTACATAGCACCGGAGGTTTTCAACAAAAATTTCGGCAAAGCTTCACATATGTCCGATGTTTATAGTTATGGGATGATGGTTTTAGAAATAGTTGGAGGAAGAGAGAAAGGTGAGGTTCAGACAAATGATACTAGTAGTGAGAGATACTTTCCATATTGGATCTATAAGCGACTTGAGGTAGGAAATGAAAGTGAATTTTACGGAGGGATTTCTATGGAAGAGACTGAAATTGTGAGGAAAATGACATTGGTTGGGTTATGGTGCATACAGACAAATCCATCTGATAGACCATCAATGAGTAAGGTTATAGAAATGTTACAGGGAAACATAGAAAACCTAAAAATCCCACCAATGCCTATCCTATCTTCTCCTCCAAATTCTCCTCCATTCTGTTCTTTTACCTCATCAACAGCATAATATTACATTTTTATGCTATTATGGTCATGTACAATTGAATTGGCTAAGGTTATATCAGATCCATTTCCTAACTTACAGTAGCAACTAGCAAACTATAAAAGACAAAGCAACTGGTTTTTGAGAGCTTGGAAGAGATATGATTGTCTCATCCTTGTGCGGTGAGAAACTGAGAATTGCTAAATTAATAAAAAAAAGAGAATCCTCCTGAATCCAAGGTCACAAGACAGCAGCATTATTTCGGGATAAGCATTTTTTATAACTATCTAATTGATTTTAATAATTTATATTCTGCTAATTTGTATAGTTTTAATTAATAAGTAGAATAAAATTATGTTTCTCATCCTCTAGAATATCAGCTCATCTATACATCAAAGCAGTAACTAATTGCCTTTTTTTTTTAATTACATTTTAATATTATTTTGTTCATCATTTCGAAATAAAAAGACATCAATATCATTATTTGTATTGGATAGTCTTGTTAGGTTATGGCTGGACATCGACATTAGGCGTAAGTAAGTGTAGATGATCATTATTTTGTTCCTCAAGTTGAAATGCCTCATATATTTACCCTTTTTGAGCTTTTCTAAATCACCTTGAACAAGATGATCATCAAAATTTCGAACATCCAAATGTTCAAACTCCAACCCCACAAACCATTTTTTATTTATTTAGTTTCCCTAAATCAGGATTGGGATTCCTCCAGTTTAATATTCCAGTCACAAATTTCAGCATCGGCTTTGAAGCATGAAGGGGTAGATAATAGCATCAAGAATTTCAGGACGAGAAGAACTACAAGTAACAACAGAAGGAGAAGGAAGGTCTTGAAGTGAAGCAGCCATATGTACCACAACAGCATCAGTAGCTAAAGCTTTAATATTAGCACCAACATAATTATCAAGTGATGTAGGGAATAAATCCTATCGCCTTAGCAGTAGCACTAGAACCAATAACAACAGGAATAACAACGGTTGAAGCAACACCAGCACCACAAGGGATGAGTCCAGCACTGCGAGCTCATTCATCGCGATTTCCTTTTCTAAGAGGCTCAGCATTAACCTAAGTCTCCTCTTAATTGGGCTTCATGAACCTTTCTCTTCCCCTATCTCTTTGCTCAAGCCAGTCTCTAGAATTCTTGCCCCATCATAGAGATAGCAAGTATCCCTGTCCGGATAGAACTAGCCAGTTCTCTTCCTACAAAAATATACATAAGTAACAGTTAGCTCAATACAAAGACAAAGACACAAAATTAGCAAGCAAAAGTTAGCATAAATTACTCTGCAGACAAAGACATACAGATTTTGTGCCACTCATTCTCACCATTACAATGAACAAAGAAGAATAATGATCTCCAACCATGTCTTATATTAGTCGGGATTTTCTTCAAAAAATTTTATTAGCCTTAGCAAAGAATGAGAGGAAAAAGTCATTAGCCTTATTATGAGAATGGAACAATTGCAGAAAAGCCTTAATCATGGGTTCTCAATCCAGCAATCTACATAAGGCCCTGAAGGCTATGAGCATCCTCCTGGCGTTAAGATGGAGTTCAGCGATACTAATTCTAGACCCTTTCAGTATAGCAGCAAAGGATATATACATCTAAAAAAAACTTAGACCAGCTTCTAAGGCTTCCTCATAAACTGGAGTTTTCCCTAAACAACTACAAATCATTGTAATAGGCCTATTATCCGTCGCAGGGTGACGAGCGAAATATGCAAGAATTTCATATTTCTTAATAATTTGGTGTATGTCGTTAGCAAAAAAAATGGATCTGATGCCTTTGCTTTAAAGTTGATCTGTTTGCTCTCTCTCATTCTTCTCTCTCAAATAATTTTCACAGCCACAGTTGCTTGCTTCCTTCCTTCTTTTAATGCAAAGTCATTCTCTCAACCTCATTCTGCTCTAGAGTTTTAGGAACCATCTTTTCAAGCCTGATTTCACATTCCTTACAATATTTTCCAAGTGGCCCCCTATATTAACCACCATCGTTTGCTCTGACGCGCTTCAGATATCTTTCTGTTTCTCTTTCAACTCTAATATTAAAAACTTGAACATATCTAACACTTAATCTTTTCCAAAATTTAATGGATTTATAATTATAAGTATATTTATGACACAAGAATGTGTTGGAGCAGAATTTAGAGTGAGTTAATCAAGAAAACTCCAATTATGGCGAGATTATAAATCCCACTATGGAGGAAGCTAGCCAAGTAACACCACCTTGGAAGGCCAAACCAAGGATACAGAATTTCAGTCTTAGAAATCTACCTCAGGCTAGAGAAATCACAATAGCTAAAAGAAAGTATATTCTTATTGATCCAATCCAAAACATAACAGCTATGCACCTATATATAGGTGTTCAATCCGTAAGCTAAAAGGAAACAAAACTAAAATAGGAATAAAAACTAAACAAGAATAAAAACTAAATAGGAAATAAAAACTAAATAAAATTTATTTATTTCATTTTTGAAAAAGAAAAAAAGTGGAAAAACAAAAGAGAGTCTTCATTGTCATTGTTCAAGTCATTGTCCCCTTTTACCTTCTAGGTAATTATAATCTAGAGTAAATTAAATAATTTTATTTAATTTCTAATGAAAGAATGTATTGAGTTTACGCGTCTCTTAAAATTTTAATGCAACGACTTACTAATATTGTGGTTATCGGAATTTTGGAATTTTATGTTCTAATGATGAGCCTATATGACGACGGAGATTATAAACCGTCGTTTGATTAGTGGGTTTGGTGGGGCTATGAACCAAGGTTTCGTACTGATTGGAGCGCTGTTGGAGATTGGGCTGCATTTGAAGCTCACGGTGGATTTTGTGGGTATGATGATGCTGCAGGCCAGTTTTTCTGTTTTTGTAGCGATAGCAGCGTGCGAAGCAACTGCGAATGGGCATGGTAGGTTCATTGAACCGCCGGTTCCGATTCACGAAATCGACGGTTTAAAATTTTAAAAATGTTGAATTTGAACCGGCTTTTGAACTGTCAGTTTCAGTCCGATTCCAGTTCCAGTGCGATTTCAATAAACCGACGGTTTCGATCACGGTTTCTGGCGATATATGTTTTTTTTTTTTTTTAATAGTTCTAACTTTACATTTTTCTTTTCAAAATATTAATATGAGTTTAAAAAATATTGATAAATTTTATTTTAAATATATTTTAGAATGTTCATACTCATAAGAATAAAATTAATTAACTTTACAAAATAATCAAATAAGTTATCAGTTTATTTTGTTTAAATGTTGTTAATAAAATAAATTATAAGAAAATTTTGAAAAATTTTTGCAAAAAATGCTTTAAAAAGATTGTAAATGTTTAAACTTAGTAAACGATATAAAAGGTTAAAAAAAAAGTTAAAAACAATATAAATTTAGACAATATTTCTCTTTTTTTTACCATTTTAACTTTTTTAGAATTTTACTTTAAAGAAAGTGTTATTTTTAAAGAAAAACAATCTTAATTGGTAATATCGTGTAGTAAAATATTATTGAAACTTTAGAAATGTATATATGACCTAAGTGATTATTATTTTCAAATAAATACAAAATTTTTAGTTCAACGGGCCTGGAACTGCCGGTCCGATTCAAAACTTTGAACCGATAATTCTAAAAAGTTAAAAACAATATAAATTTAGACTAAATATTTCTCTTTTTTTTACCATTTTACTTTTTAGAATTTTAACTTTTAAAGTAAAGTGTATTTTTAAAAAACAATCTTAATTAAGGTATATCGTGTAGTAAAATATTATTGAAACTTTTAGAAATGTATTAAATAGACTAAGTGATTATTATTTTCAAAATAAAAATACAAAATTTTTAGTTCAAACCGGGCTGGAACTGCCGGTCCCGATTCAAAACTTTGAACCGATAATTCTGATCCAATTTCGGTTCATTTACAGTACGGTTAGATTTCAGTTCAACTCTAGTTCAAAATGAATTGGTTGCCATGCGTAACTGGGAAGGTATGCATGTTTATTTATTTTGCCTGTTTTCTCTTCTAGTTCAAGAAAATCAAAGGACAGTCAATTTCTTTGTTTCTCATATCGTGGGATTAATTCTATATATTTTCTCAGTAAATTTTTTAAATTTTAATAAACTATTATTAGATTGGAGAAATAAATTAAATTTAATATAATTCAATTAAATATTATGATTTACTTTACACTTTAAATCTGATGAAATATGAATTTATTCATATATTTTTAATAACAAAAATCGTTACACTCTCAACTTTTATTTTAACTCGTTAAATACTTTAATTTATAAAATACGCCTATTAAATATTTCATCTTGACCCATTAAATGCTTTAGTTTATAAAATTAGATCAATCAACACTTATATAAATAATTGAAATTTTTAAAAATTATTGTTCCAAAAAATATATTAACCACGTGTCAAATTAATATTTTATATATTAAAATCAATAATATTAAATTTTATTATTATTAGTATGAAAAAGTGTTTAATGCTGTCAAAACTTTTAACTTCAAGAATATGATATTTCCGCACAATTTGAGATAACACAAAATTTTTCGTGAAAATAATAAAGATAAATTTTTGTAGTTAATTAAGTCAATTTTAAATGCAGGTAAAATATATCATGCTATCGTAATATATTATTATGCAATGCACGAACCATTGTTGAATCACCTTCGTCCAACTTTTTTTTTATAAAAAAAATAAAATAAAATAAAATAAAATAAAAAAAGGAAAATCACCTTGGTTCAGGCCATTGTTTTATAAAAGTAGTAATGAGTAATTACAAGAAATTGAAAGAAAGTAAATTCATAGAAACTCTTCATACTTTGACTTCAATATTTTCAATTAGGAAGATGATATTTTTTGTTATTGAGTATTAGGGAAGGAGACTCGAACCTATATTTATTATCAGGTCGTATATCGTTAGGTACAAGACAAAAATAAAAATGATTCCGATATTAATTAAAGTATCTAAATCTTGAGAAGGACCAATTGCAGAGTTTGCAATTTAGTTATTCATCTAAGTTAATATAAGTCTTCTTCTTCTTACACAAAGCTAAAAAATTTCAAAATACTCGATCTAATTAAAGTTCATCTTCGTCTGTTGCAGCCAGCGGTCCCAATCTGAATGTGCCTATGAAAGTGGGAATAGGTAAGATTCTCCAGTTGATGTCTTTTCTTATTATTATTTTTTTTTCAATCGTTTTATTTATAAAAATAGTAGAAGTAAAAAAACAAAATACTGAAATACTTTTAACCCGCTAAAGAGAAAATTGTATCGGGCGCAATTTGAGCCATTTAACACAATTGCTATTTATTTCTTGTTTTTTTTCAAAGATTGAAGAAAATAGTTGTACATCACAATAAAATACAAGATAATCAATTATAAATAAACATGAATTTTACATTTCAGAAATCGAATTGGTATCAAGTAATTTGCTCAATCATACTAATGCTATAATAGTATGTACACATATATTAAACCATAACTCGACCTCTGTAACCCCAACATCTCAGTAGCATTGCTTTATTTTCTGCTTCAATTTCTTATATGATCAGATTTCTATGATAGCTAATTCCCACAATGGCCACGCCTAGCCATTGGAGTAATTGGAAAATTAATCACTTGCGGCCTCATTTATTGTTTCAAGAAAATTCCGTCAACAGTTTCCTTAAAGAACAATCAGAAATTTGAGGCCGTTCTGAAAAACCATGCACCTTCAGCTGTGAAAAGATACAGCTTCTCAGAAGCGAAGAAAATAGCCAATTTTTTCAAAGATATACTTGGCCAAGGCGGCTATGGAAGTGTATAAAAAGGCAAGCTATATGACGGTCGTTTTGTAGCAGTAAAGGTCTTGAATGCTTCTAAAGACGAAGGAGAGGAATTCATCGATGAAGTAGCAAGTATTAGTAGAACTTCTCACGTTAATATCGCACTCTTTTAGGGTTTTGTCTGGAAGGTAAAAAACGAGCTTTAATTTATGAATTCATGCCCAATGGATCTCTCGAGAAGTTCATATGCTCAAAACGTACTTTAAAGACCGACAATCATTTAGGATGGGGAATTATGCATGAAATTGCAATTGGAATAGCTCGAGGACTAGAGTACTTGCATAGCAGGTGTAACACAAGGATTGTGCATTTTGACATAAAGCCTCACAACATTCTTCTTGATGAAAATTTTTGCCCAAAAATTTCAGATTTTGGACTCGCAAAACCATACACCAAAAAAGAGAGTATATTATCAATGCTAAGACTAGAGGGACTATTGGGTATACAGCGCCAGAGGTTTTCAGCAGAAATTTTAGTGGAGTTTCGTACAAGTCTGATGTTCATAGCCATGGGATGCTGGTTTTAGAAATGGTTGGAGGAAGAGAGAAAGAAGAGGTTGGGACAAATGATCCTAGCAGTGAGAAATAATTTCCATACTGGATTTATAAGCGACTTGAGTTGGGAAATGAAAGCAAATTGTATGGAGAGATTTCTACAGAAGAGGCTGAAATAGTGGGGAAGATGACATTGGTTGGGTTGTGGTGCATACAGACAAAACCATCTGATAGGCCATCTACGAGTAAGATTATAGAAATGTTCATTCAAATCCCACCAAAACCTTTCCAATCTTCTACTCCAGAATCTCCTCCAATATGTTCTTTTATCACATCAATAGAATAATATTGTTTTATCACATAAAATTGAATTGGCCAAGGCTATCAATATTCATTATTCTTAATTTTTTTGATTTATTTTAGATATACAAGTATTCTTATTTATCAAAATTTATCTACAAGTATTGAGATTTTTAGGCCTTTTGCTGATATAAGAATCCGTTTCAAGAGATCAAAATCTACGTTTCTGGAAAACACTACGAATTTTCAAATATAACTATACCTCTATCATTTAACTGTTTTGAGAGTAATGATTATTTCATGCTTGTGTACTAAGAACTTTCAAATTAATAGGACACTCCTGAAACCAAGGCCAACGGCAGTTGGGGAAAGTAATTTTTTTAATTATTTTTTTGATTTTAATATTATTTATTCTACATTCAGTTAATTTACAATGTTTGTTTACTAATCAGTGGAAACACATTTTGGTTCTCGTCCTCAAAAAACTTCGTTTATGGAACTTTTTCTCATTCTCTTCTACCATACAACACCTTATGTAAGCATCAAAAGCATCTAGTATAAATCAAATTAAACCGTTAAAAGGTTTAATGGAAACGAGCACACATTCCATTCAATCATATCTATTAAACTAATTGATTTTCATCAAATTCCAGTTCTATGAACTTCAATCAGCATCAGCCTGCTGGATTACTGGGTAAAAAATAGGCCCTATCATTTCAAGAAGAAAAACCCGAAGCTTCACACAATGAATGAATTCATGATTATGTATGTATATTTGGTAAAATCTATACACCAGACGGGTAAAGAGCAGCAATTTGAAATGAAGAGTAGTGGAGCATTACCCTCAAGCCACTGGTTCGGTTTTACAGACCGGGCACATCTTTTTCTGTGCAAGCCATTGCTTTATACACTGTATGTGAAAGCCATGTCCACAATCCAGCTTTCCCAGCTCATCATCCAGTTCGTAATCCTCCTGTACACAGGTAGATATGTAAATGCAAGGAGTAAAACAAATAAAAATTGAATAGAAAAGTATAGGCAAGTGCAAAGCAGATCTCATCAGATATTTGGATTAAAAGATAAAAAGGAAATGTAGAATTTAAAGAAACAAGATAAATTACCAAGTAAACCTTAACGCACCTGGCAAATGCTGCACTTTTTGTCTGGTATCAAGGGCAATTGAGATGAAAGTTCATTGATAATTGAGAGCTTAATTTTTCGGACACAGCGTCCAATCTCATCATCTTTCAATCCGGTGCTCACATAACCAATTCTATCACCAAGCTCGAGCAATTGCTGTTAGGACCAGGAAACAGAACTCCAAACAATGAGAATCCAAATCCCGAAAATACAAGAACTAAATTAACTGAAACCACATTACTGCTAGAATTCAATACTTTTAAATTGTAAGCCATTTAGAAAGTGATAGAAATCTTGCCAAAAGTGGCCTAATCAAAAATGTATTACATTTGTTTAAATAGAACTAACAATTTCAAATACCACCAAAGCAACTCCAATTAAGGCAAATTTGTCTCTTTATGAATTATAAATAAGGATAAAATTGCAAAATAAGAATATTCATTTTCCCTTTCAATTGTTCCAAACATATCACTAACATTTATTACAAACATATAAATTCTAACAATAAATCAGGAGTCCAAATGCTTATGTAGAACATAAGCAAACATATCAGCAACACAGTAGTGATTCTGCCAATACAGTCCCTACTTCCAGCATTTATGCATCAGGTGGCGACTTGGAAGTTTCAAACGCTTAGATTTGAGCATAGTAGATTAAGAAACAATTTCACAAGTATCATAATCAAAATAAAAACTTGAAAGGCAACTCTAGGTTCATATAATACCTCATACGACATGTCATCAATGTCAAGTCTCCATTCGTGAAATCGATCCACTCTTCCTCCCATCATGAAGCTATTTTGGAGCAGCATTATCTGCAATTAGCCAAAACTTATAAATCATATTGTAAAAACACTCATTATAATAAATATTAGAAAGTCTTCCACAATAATACTGTGCAAGCAACATCAAAAATGTCCTTTTAACATGAATTAGACATGTTATCCTGCACAATAAAATTTTTAATTGGAAAAATTGCAGATATGCAAACTATAGTGCATTAAAATAACAGTATGTGAACAATTTACAATCGATTAATGCATATAAAAGCATAGACAATACATATTATCCGGTCTAAATCCAGCCTGATCAACTTTTTCAAGAATCGACATCAGCACATCCTTTTCTCATTTGTTCCCCTTTATGGCGCACAGATTCACAACAATAGTGCAAGCTCGCTTGTTTGGTATACCATTTGGTATTGTACCAAATACCAAGGGTTGCACACTGTGAATGGGAAGTTTAAAGGGCGATGAATGAAATACAACTTCAGAAAGAAAACAAAGAAACGAAATCTCCACACGTTTGCTATTACCAGTTACATCTTCCAAGAATACAATCATGTTTTCTAGATAACACAAAATGATAAATCATGTTTGAGGGCGTTACCCCCTTGAAGATGAAAAAAAAAAAAAATGAAAGAACAGTATTACCTACTGCAAAATTATTTGGATTCTAGATGGAAATTCATATTCAAATGGAACATGGGGCACTCAAACTCTTTAGAATAATTTAGTCCACTAACATTATAAATCATCTTGGGTGCAGTTAGACTTGGGAAAACATGAATTTGCCATCATGTCCTAATGTGCACTCTAAGATAAATTCTGTTTTACTATCCCCAAATGATGTAGGTAAATAACTAATGCAGAAACCAATGGAGCCATTAATTAACTCTTAGTCAAAAGTTAGGTATATCAATCTGACCAACCAACAACATATATGTAAACAATCCATGCAAAAAGCTATTATATTTGACTAAGCGAAGACGATGAATAAGAGAGTTTAAAAGCGTTGAGAACTTTAAACCTTAATCCCTCTTACCCATATGCCAGCCAAATTAATAATTAAATAGGCTAAAGGATAAACAACCACAAAAATAAGTCCTTGCTCATGCATACTACCAACAATTTGGTCCCATGTTACAACTCATTATCAGCTTGACCTCAAACTAATTAAAAAAGCACCTCTCCAGTTCTCCTCTTCTCAGTAACAATTGGGTAAAGATGAAAGGGAAAGACTGAAAATTTAACATCAAATAATAAATAAAGAAATGAACTTGCAGCACTATGTTTATCCATTACATGTAGTTGAGAATGGAATCATCAAATTCAAGTGTAAAAATCCTGCCTCAACTCAAATCAATATACTCCAAAATTTTATTGATAAGGAGATATTTTGATTATATTTCAAGGTGCAGCTCCACCATAACCACCAAACCCATGTAGAATGCATAGCTATATAATCACTCACTCCACTATAAGAAACATGAGATATTATAAAATTGCAATAACACAAGGAAATACTGAGCATATGACACTACCTCAGCTAAACCATCTGGGGAAGGATGCCGAACATGACGATAATACCTACTTCCAAAGACTTCTGGTTCAGGGCGAGAAGAAACAAAAGCAGGGTCCGTATCCAAAAAAGAAAGAGTTTCAGGGTTCACAGTTGCCCTTCTCCCTAAACAAAAAGCACGCTGCCAAGATTCACAGGAAAAAATAAGCTAACAAAAACAAACCGCAAACACAAATACTGAGAAGAGTGAGCTAACCAGAGAACACGAAATAGACCACAGTAATAAACCAGAGAAGAAAAGTGAAAGGAGAAATCTTTATATGCACAACCACAGCATAAAAAGAGAGGTGTGTCCTTCTCTAATTCAAAAACCAGAGAGCACGTATCACAAGCTCCGTGTAAACTAACTCCTACAAATTTGTGGGGTCCGCATTTTTTTGACCAGTAGAATGTTTGCGTTCCTAGCCATGGAACACCATACGTACACGCATTATAAGATTAGAGAAATAATAATAATAACAATAATAATAATAATAGTCACCCAATATTAAAAACCTAATGGATTCAGAATTAGAATAAACAAGTAATATAAATTCCAATGGTGTTGTACTCATAAAAAGTAAAAATGATAATAAAGGGTAATAAATTAGGGATTTAGATTAGAAGAAGCAAGAGAGGCAGAAGTTATTGATCACTTTCACTTGGTCTCCAATGGTGTGATACCCACGAAAAATAAAGCAGAGAATTTCTTGTTTCACTTAGAAACTATAAATTTATAGGTAAAATAAGGACTTTTAGATAACCCTTATTTTCAAAAATTACTAAAAATTTCTACTAAATATTTAATGAGGGTAATAATAATAGTAATATCGAAATGGTAAACGAACCGAGTCGCATTAAATTATCAAAATTTGTTTCCTAAACAATCTAAAATAACGCTACTAAAAAAAATTGAGATTGAAAATGATCAATAAATAATACTTTTTTATTCTTTATCTCAATCCAACAGTTACTCACGAAAGTATATAACTATTTACTCCTTAAAATTCTCAAAAAAAATATATATATATTTTGAGATAAAATAATCACACAAAAAACAAATTATATTTGGGATAGGAAAAAAAAAAAAAAGATTAAAAAATTGTCAGCAACCCAAGAATCATACTTGTCAGAGAGATTTCAATCAGCGATTACACCAACTCATCAATCTCCAAAAAATGATACTGAAAAAGATTTTAGCTTGAAGAACACCAACAACCAGAACAACAGCATGTATATATATGCAACAAATCTGAAATCAACCTCTCCAAATAAAATAAAACTAATCTCCATTGAATAGCATAAATTCACTGCACTTTCTAAATTCGAATAAGATTCAACTTTTTTCAAAGAGAGAAATAAATGGTGTAGTGTAGGCAAACACATCAAGCAAACTATCGCTAACAAAGCTTCTCTATTATACGTATAAGAAAGAAAGAAAGAAAGAAAGAAAGAGACGTGTGAAAGAAATAACCACAACAATAAAACTCTGAAATTAAAATATACCTCTCTCTCCCGCTCTCTTTCCCTTTGATTAATTTTCTCTCCATCAATTTTCCCTCTTCCAGACGCATTATTCCTTCTAGCCACAACACAATCCACTGACCCAACAACAGCATCAGCAGAAAACCCAATTCCAGGCCCACACCATACATCTTGAATAACCATACAGCTTCCAGAATTGAAACTCCCATTACCATTATCACTACTAACATTACCACCATTATTATTATTGCTACTATTCCCTTCACCGTTATTATTGTTACTTTCACTGAAAACCCTAATACTCTCCTTCTTCCTTTTCTGTTGCTGTTGACTCTTTTTCTTCTTCACCCTCTTCCCTTCCCACTCCGCCGATGACCGTATCACCGCCGGCACCGACACTTGTTGCGCCGCTCCAGCAGTGCATCCCAGGCCTCTGAATGGGGTTGTCTTCTTCTTGGAAGTGGTTTCAGTGGTGTTTGTGGAAAAAGGAGAGAGAAAAAGAGAGGAAATTGTAGATTTGGATGAGCGAGAAATATGTGGGGTTGGATCTGTTTCAGTTAAAATGGTAGGAATTTCACCTTGCTGTTGATTGTGATAGAAATGGTTTCTGGATCTTCTAAGCTTGATGTGCTCCGCTATAGTTGACGATGACGATGAACTCTCTGTAAAAACTGGCATGATCTTACAAGGCGAGAAAGAGAAAGGGACTCAAAGAGAAATGAAAAATATGAAAATGGAATGTCACAGAAGAAAGAGAGAGAGACAGAGAGGGAATGAGAAGAGATTTGATTTTGAGTTATTAGTAGAAAAAAAGAAAAAAGAAGAGAAGAAAGAATAGATTTTGATTGTGGGATTGAATTTTCTTTTTAAAAGAAAAGAATGAAATTGATTAAAAATATTTTTCTTTCTATTTTTTATTAATTTGAAAGAGAGTTTATTTGTTAGGTGGGCTATGGTTTGTCTTCTTGTTGGAATGGGAAGCGTGGGTATAATGTTCATCAAACGCCAGACTGAGACACTGGAATCCATTAATGCCCTTTGCTTTCTTTATTTTTTCTTTATTTCCTTCTTTTAAGCTTGATTGATGCTAACTTATCCAACAAAAAAGCTACAAAAAGCAAAAGAATTTTAGTTTATTGTTATATTATAAATAATAATAATAGTATTATTTTCTTAATATTTAACCAGAATATCAGTTCCTGCCTAAAGAGCAGTAAGACACCAAAATAAAATGAGAAAGGCTCACCTAATATCGGATCAAATTAATAAAAAAAATAATTTTAAAAAATGAAAATATTATTAATCATTCACATAAAAAATTTAAAAAAAAATATCTATTATCATTGGTTTGCCTTATAAATAACTATTTTGCTGAAAAAAGAATAGTCATCATGTATTTGTCATCTCTTTTAATTTGTTTTAGTTAATATATTACATTAAATTTTTTAGAGCATTCTTACAATTGATGATTTATTTCTCAAAAAATAATGAATAATTTATTTATAATAGTGGTTGGTAACATATTTGTATCAATTGATTTGATTTGTATAATGTATATGTGATGATTTTGTTTATTTTAGAAGTAAATGTAATAGATAAAGAGACTTGCAACTAAAATAAGAGTAGCTACGGAATTGATTACTATAATTTAAGTCATAAATTTGATTCTCCATAATAATGGAATTAGATAATAATAATTTAAAATAAGATATGAAAGTACATGATTCTTAAATAAAAATATGTAATTCAAATAATAAAAGAAAAAAAATTAAAAAAAGACGTGTGCATATATTATCTTATTCAGAATTTTTGTTAAATTTAAATTTAAAGGTATAAAATCAATTAAAAATAATTTAATTTAATTTTGTAATTTTAAATAAATTTGATAGATTTTATACTAGGGTGGGGGAAAAGGGTATTCAAGAGAAGAAAATAAGGGAAGCACCAAAAAAAAAAAAACTGAAAAAGTCATATATGTTGGGTTAGAGTGGATGAGAATAGAAAGGGACCCATAAGGAAATCACAAGGTCAAAACTGAATTGGGGTTGTCGGGATTGTAAATAAAGGGAAAAGGGTCCATATATATATAGGGCTATTAAATAGTTATGGGAATCCCTATAGGGTAGTGTTTGGGGTTAGGGGCCAAGACAAAGCCGGATAGTTGTAATCATGTGAGGTGCTCCGAAATCTGAATTTGACTCAAGGTATGTCTTCTGCCAAAAGCTTCCTCCCATGGGGTCCACATCTCGTAATAATAAACTCATTTCCAATTTCATATATTTTTTTAAAAATATATTTTAGATTGAAAAGAAGCTTATTTATTATTTTTTTATATGCTATTAAAATGTATTTAACTTTTATATTTGTATACCTTTTTAAGTAAATTTTAATAGACCATGATTGAAATTGAAAATAAAAGTTTTAACTTTGACCATTGATTAAAATATTTTAAATTGATAATTATAATATTCTAAAATAATTGTAATTAGGCGTTTTAAATCTATACTAAACTACTAATACAAGACTCTAGATAGCCATTTTTTCTTTCAATTCATGTAAAATCTTAAAAGAAAAGGCAAAGAAAATGTGACTTGCATAATTTTTAATTTTAATAATCTAGTCGCAAGAGAAAACTCAATATAAATTTTTTCAAATTTTAAAATTTTTATAAATTAAATTGAATTTTGAAAAATAGTTGGAACCACTTAATAAGTACCTAGAAATTCTAGAATATAGGTTAATTCATTAAATATGACCTTCAATTAACTATAATATTAATTGCACCTTGAATATACATAAAATTTATTAAACTATAATTCCTTTTCTTTTTTTTTTTTCCAAATGATAAAAGAGGAAGAGGAAAAATAAAGAAAAATGACAAAACAGAAAAGAGAGGAAATATGGTATAATTTTATTTTTCTTTCTGAAAATGAAAAACTATTAGTTTCTCTATTATCATTATTCATAAACATGAAATATGTTAAATTTTTAAAAATTTGACTCATTCAATTTGGTATTTTTCAAAAGTTTAAAAATTTGTCTCAGCTCCCAAAAGTATTACCAATTTTACATTTTATTATAATTGTACCCCAAATTAAACTTAATCCTCCAAACACAATTTATTTATTTTTTGAAAATAAGTCGAGGACTTCAATTATTATCAGCATCCACGAAAAGAACATTGATCAATATGAATAGCGGAGAATTCTAATTCATTCCCGTTAGACATAGAAACAACTATCCTAGTTAACTTATGAACAGCTTGATTTGCTGATCTATAAATATAAGAAATAAAAACACTAATTAGCTCGTTCATTAGAGCTTTATAATATGAAATAATAAGATCAAAATAAGAGTTTCCACATATACAAAAATGATATTGTTAGCCTTTAACCAGCTTAAAACATCTCTTAGTCCAATGGCTTCACAAATTAATGGATGAAACATAACCAATTTAACCCTCCAAAAACCTTAATTTTAACTTTCTGTCACAATTATATTTTAAATTCAAATTATAGTAAATTTACTCTCACAATTGCACTCTAAATTTACAATTATGGTAAACTTTTTATTCATCCTAAATTTATATTTTATTTCATTTTAATGGCACAAATCCTAGATTAACAGAGAAAAAAAATAATCTGGAGGAGATAAGGAAAGACAAGAATAGGAAGACACAAATGAAGAATATAAGGAAAGTCCCACTAAAGTTTCATACTTCTACTGCTTGGCAATTGAAGAAAACACACACTGAAACTAAATTAAAAAATAGTTTGAAAATTATCATTCTGATATAAATCTCTGACTTTTATTATATCAAATCATTTTCAGTATAAATTTTACTTAATTTTTTTCTTAGTTGTTTCATTTTGTTGCTTAAATTATGAAATTATGGAATTCAATAAAAAAAGCACAAAAATATTTCAACTTTACAAAGCTTTTTTCCATTTTATAATTAATTAAATATTAACATGAACTATATATAATAATTATAATGGCTGCTTATAATCAAGGATGGTTGACTATTGAAACTAATAAAAAAAATGATAGAATATATAATTATACTACTCTTTTTTATCCATTTCAACTTTTATTTAGGATAATTGCGTAATAAATATTTAACAGTAATTTACGAAAATAGTTATAATTAATTAAATTGCTCTTATTTTGACTATTTAAATAACTAATGGTTTCTTAATGGAGATAGCAGAAGATAATAATAAAAATTGAAATAAAATAATTATTAATCACTTAAATTTATAAAAAATATATATAATTAAAATTAGACTTGAGATAGATCCGATAGAATATTTTTTACAAACATCTACTTTATCTAAATTTTTAAAATAAACTATTTGTTTAAAAATCATCTTTTTATAGGTTTAATTTTTCATTTACGTGATAAACGAGATGTTTCATTTTTGAGAATTTTTATCAATTTAGTAAATAAATGATAAAACAATATATGTCATATTATATAATATTATTTCAATTTTGGTATTTTTAATGAATAAAAAATTATTTTCTAAAGGATAGTATAATTTTAATTTTCTTAAAGAAATGATTATACGGTTTTGTTTTGTTTGTGGACAAGACAATAAAATAGCTGTTTTTTCTTTTAGATTTTTTTTTTTTTTTTAAGAGGGTGGCATGGCTTTTTTAGACTTTTGAAGAAGCAATGTAATGTAAATAGTGAGATTGACCATAGTTTTATAGAGATGTGTGTAATTATTTAACAAGAAAAGAAGAGATGCTATTTGCTGATTGCAAGTTCTTTTCTTCAATTGGTGCAGAGCTGATTAGGTGCCTTTTGACTTTCCTTCTCCCTTACTCTTAACCTTTTCCTCACCCATTTTCCATTTTATTATTTTATTATTACAGCTTTGTGAAATAATCTAATCAAATCATCTAATAAAAGTCTAATGACTTTTTTATTATTAGAAAAAACAACAATAATTCATTCACACATCATTGTAAATTCTAAAGAAATAGTGCCCACATATTTGTTTCTTCCCCATTTTGCTATATTATTTATTAAAATTTATTAAAAATTAGTCTCTATAATAAGCTAAGATTTAAAGAGATCGAAGACAATCTTTATCGTTAAGTACTTGGCAATCAATTTGCTAAAATGCCACCAAAGCTAAAATTTGACACGTTTTGGAAATAAATATTATGTCTTCTCAAAATCATAATAATAGTGTGAGATTGTTTAACATTACAATTTTATTTTTATAAATCATAATTTTTAATATCATCATACAAATAATTTAAAATGCTATTTAAATTATTGAGGAAATTTTAATTTATAATATATGATTTATTTGAAAATAAAATTTAATAATCTTTAATTTTTACGTTTTGAACATTAATTATACAGTCATCAACAGCTAATCACAATAATGCTAATTAAAATTAACTACTCAACTACTCGATTATATTTCAAACAATAATACTAACTCACCTTGAAACTTCACCATTCTTTTTAAATTAGGTTGCAGTTGGCATGAAATGAAAAACATTTGGTTTGAAATTATTTAAAATATGAAGAAGATTAGTTTGCTAACCACGTACTTTGGTTAAAATAAGGTTGCAATGTATTTGACTAAGGTTTTAATTTAAATTTAGAATTACAACTACAACATTGTTAATTCTCAAAGAATTGGAAATGAAATTAATTAAACTGACTCCAATGCTAATTTCAATTTGGTAAAATTATTCCAATTCAATTTCAATCAATTCGATTATGGTGTCAGAAGAGAAACATTAACTATCAAGTTTAATTTGAATTTGAGTGTTTCATATTTAGGGGTGAGTTTTTTGTTAATCAAATCCAACCAAAGCTAATTAGCTAGGTTTCAATCTATCCAATTATATTTTCATGGTAACTAAATTTGGAATCAAATAACATAAAATCGAGTTAAACTAAAATGAATTGGTTTGATTTGATTATTTTAAACTAAATTATTTATTTTGGACTTAAAAATAAATTCGAGTAGTCATATATAATAATCAAACTAAAAATAAAAACTAAATAGTTTTCTATTTCAAATCGATTGACAATACAATAATCAAAATCCGATCGAAAATATATCAGTTTGGTTCAATTTTCGGTTAAAGAGCGAGTGTTGCTCAACGCTATCTATAAACATCATTATAAACAATAAATAACAATTTATTTTGATAATAATTAGTCATCTTTGGCCTTTGGGAGATTAATTACATTTTGCTTTGTCGGAAAATTAATTCTTTCTTGCCCAATAGTAGATTCGTTTTTTGGATTTCTTTTGGGTAATTAGATAATTCTCTCTTAATAATGAAGGGTTTGATAGTCCCTACCAGTGTGTTCAACAACAGACAAAATGTAATCTATAGCCATTAATATGCATTATTTTTATAACACTCTTGGGCCTAATTTCTTCAATGATACAAATGATACTAATTTGTTTGAATTAAGAGCAATAATCCAAATTCAATCTAGTGGAAAAAAAATATTATTAAAGTTCTAAGTGTGACTGACTAACAAAACAAGTTTCTTAACCAACTTTTTATTTTACTATATTTTATGTATGTCACCTTCAATTTTCATTTATATTTCGAAGCAAACATATATTTATATGATAAAATTCTGATAAAAACGCTTTTTATTTATAGGTCTGATGTAACATGAGCAAGATTAGGTTTTGGTTTAATGAACTAGAGACTCTTGTGATATAAACCTAAAAAAAAAAAATTATTTCTATAAATACATATGTTTATAATTAATATATTTGCTATTAATTATTGATAATTTCAATTATTTTGATTGGTTTGATTTCATATCCTATGAAATTAGTTGATCGTCAAGGAAAACTAGTTGCAGTAATGCAAGATTAAAGAAAATCAGAAGGTTACTGGTTAGCGATTAATCGATCAAATTTTATGAGTAAAATTAAGTGTTGAAAGGGCGAGGGAAAAAATGGAAACAAAATATTAATAAATTAATTAAGGTGATATATCATTTTATGAGAAGTGAGTTAACTGCAAAGTACATGATAATTGATACATGTAGATGCTAAAGAACATCAAAGTTTTCTTTAAGCTTAGTTAATCTCTATGCCAACCCTGGATACAAAAAGCAGGAAAGTGAGAGTGAAAGTCCAATTTATTTATTTGATACATTGAACATTTTCAGTAAGTTTTAAAAAAAGTTTTAAATTTCTTCTTTCTTGTACTATGAAATTGTTGATCTCATCGCATATTAAAAAATGAAATAATCAATAAAATAAATCAAGTGTTGTGAAATTTAAAAATATATATAAATTAAAATGAATGTATTATTTTTAATTAAATCATCCATATAAATAAATCAAGTCTAAGGCTTGCATTATAGTATTAAAGAGTGATTTGTAAAATGAAACGCAATATATATATAAAATTTATTTTTAGAGACGGTGAAAGTTCATTTTAGTTATTGATCAGAGCTAAAATCAACGTGGTATTTCAACTACCAACATCTATTTTAATAAGAAAAATTTATTAAAAAATTACAGGACGATCTATGTAGTATGCGAAATATAACTAATCGGTTTCTGTCTTTTTTAAAATATATCAATTTGTCCTTATGTATTGCTTCCATTATACTACTATGTCATTTTGTCCAATTTTTGCATTTTTTCAGTTAAATAAACAATAAAACACAAAGGTTAAAAGAAAGATACTAAAATATTATATTAAAAAATTATAGTACGGTACATATAGTTTGAAAAATACAACTAATCCGCCCCGTATTTTTAAAAATAAAAGGAAAATTTCATCATTTCATTATGTACTTAACAGAAAAAATATAAAAATTGGACGAAAGGACCTTACAGTCTGATGAAAGTAAACTATAAGGATGTTTTAGTCTTTTTTAAAAGGCAAAGACGAACTAACTATATTTTCCAAATTAAAAGGATTGCATTGTAATTTTTTCATTTTAATCCTGAAAAAAAAAAAGAGAGAGAGTAGATGTTAACAATTGGACGCTTTGGACATGTTCACTACATAAAATAAAAATAGGGAATAGAATTTTAATTTTTCCATTTCATTTTTTTTATTAATATAGGTGAGGAGAGGGAATAGGAATGAGAATGGGAAAGAAATAAATCACAGATTGTTTTTTATTTAAAAAAAATGAATATATGATCATTTTTTTCAAAATACCAAGTATGTCGATCTAAATCACAGAAATAAATCACAGAATTCGGTGCTTAATTACAGTTAAAACTCTTTACTTCTCTTTATAGGCGTTTTTAATCAGAATCGAACCCGAAAACCCTTCCTACATTTCTTCATCCCTATTTGCAGGCGTGTTTAATGAGAATAGTACTCAAAAAAACTCTTTCTACATGTCTCGTGTGCGTTGCCAACTGAACTATAACTCGTAGATTATGTTTCTTCTCTTTTTATAACAGAAGAAATAATAAATGAAATTAAAATTATATATATACTAAAAGGAAATTCAAAATCACTGTTCTTAGAACGGTGTTTTGCCTTTTAACCATTTCATTTTAATGTTATTTCTATTTTGCCCTTATCTCCTCTCGAAATTTTGTCTCCTTCGACGCTCCAAAATCCACCGACTCCAATCTCATTTTCTTCGCGAACTTCATCTTGGTTATATGCTTCTTCGCAGATATTATTTATGCACTGATCCTAATTCTTCCTCTTCTCTTCTCGTTTATATTCTATATTGCATACCAATTATAGGAATAAAAATTCCTATTTCCATTCTAGCTTTATCCCATTTCATGCTTTATCCTATTTCATTTCGTGCATCAAACATATTCTAACAATTTGTTGGTTTAAAAAATTTTATTTCCAGAGAATTTTTTATTTGCGCTAATATTTTTTATTTTAAAAACGTTATTTTAGATTTTTATTTTTTTTATGAAAATTGACATTCTTACATTTATCTAAAGTTTTTGAAAATAATAAATAGTTTTAAAATATTATTTATAATATTTAAACAAAATTGCACATACATAATAATACATGAAAATTTTTTAATTAATTACATTTTTTGTTTAATAATAATAATAATCTTTTATGTTTTATCAGTAGATGGAAATTTTTGATGGGTAATCTCAAGCACAAAGCCAACTCAAAAAAAGATTTTTTTAAAAAATATTACTGTTTTATCCTTCTTTTTTTTTTCGGTGTATAGGTGACTTCATACACAGGTGTCGATGGAGTCTTTTTTTTTTTTTTTTCAGAATTCGGTGCTTAATTACAGTTAAAAACTCCTTTTGGACTCTCTCTTGTATAGTCGTTTTTGAATCAGAATCGAACCCGAAAACCCTTGCCTACATTTCTTCGTCATGCCCTATATTGCAGGCGTTGTATTTAATTGAGAATGAGTACTCAAAAAGAACTTCTTCTACATGTCTCGTGTGCGGTTGCCAACTGAACTCATAACTCGTAGATTATGTTTCTTCTCTTTTTATAACAGAAAGAGGGAAATCTTAATAAATGTGAAATTAAAATTGTATTCATACTTATACTAAAAGGAAATTTTCAAAATCACTGTTCTATAGAACGGTGTTTTGCCTTTTAACCATTTCATTTTAATTGTTATTTGCGTATTGTTGCCTAAATCTCGTCATCGAAAATTTTGTTCTCCTTGTCGACGCTCCCAAAATACCACCGATCCAATCTCATTTTCTTTCCGCGAACTTCATCTTGGTTATATTGGCTTCTTCGCAGATAATATACTTTATTGCACTGATCCGTAATTCTTCGCTCTTCTCTCTCGTTTATTTATTCTATATTGCATACCAATTATACGGAATTAAAAATTGCCTATTTCCATTCTAGCTGTATCCCATTTCATGCTTTATCCTATTTCATTTCGTCGCATCAAACATATTCTAAACAATTTGTTTGGTTTAAAAATTTTTAATTTCCAAGAGATTTTTTTATTTGCGCTAATATGTTTTTATTTTTTAAAACGTTATTTTAGATTTAATTTTTTTTATGAAAAATTTGAGATTCTTACTAGTATCTTTAAATCTAAGCTTTCTTGAAAATAGATAAATAGTTTTAAAATATATTTATAATATTTAAACAAAATTGCACATACATAATAATACATGAAAATTTTTAAAATTAATTACATTTTTTCGTTTATAATAATAATAATCTTTTATTGTCTTTATACAGTTTAGATGGAAATTTGAATGCGGTAAATCTTCAAGCACCAAACGCCAACACTCAAAAAAAAGAATTTTTTTTTAAAAAATATTTACTGTTTTATTCCTTTCTTGTGTTTTTTTCGGATGTTATAGGTGAACTTCATTACACAGGTGTCGATGGAGTTCTTTTTTTTTTTTTTTCCGTTAGATAATTACTTCTTAAAATTTAACAACTATCAATTTCTTTTTTTTTTTTTTTTTCCGTAGATTAATTACTCTTAAAATTTTAACAACTATCAATCTAGTTGTTAACTATCATCAATGGTTATTTTGAAAAGAAAAGACAAGCCCATATATATTTGGTTGGGCTTGCAAGCCCAAGGTCACAAGTTCTTATATATTGAGTTGGGCTTTCTAGGTCGAGTTCTATTATCTATAACCTGAGCGAAGTCATCAACTCTAGTAACGAAAAGCAAAAACCCTAAACCCTGAAGAGAAAGAAGGCGTTTGCTATGAAAGGAGCTTTTTTGAGAAATCTCTCCCTCTACTCTCGCTATCTGCTTTACTCTCCTCCAAAATCCAGAGCAAATCCGAACACATCCTTTGCTCTATTTGTCTCTTGCCTTCGTTCTAGATTCATATTTTACTCGTCCGAGTCCGACTTGTCCGGTGAGGCAAAATTACCACCGACCCAGAAGTCAAATAGTTCCGTCAAGGATGGTGATGACGTCAGCAACCAAGGTAAAGAAAAGCAAAGAAATGTGAATTGAAAGCTTTTGATTTTGCTTGGGTTCAGTTTGGCTGCTGGGAAAATGATGGAAAAGGACAAAAATTTCGGAACTTGGCTAGAAAGTTTTGGTTTGCTTTATTATATAAATTTATGGTTTTTGGCTTAACTAGCGTTATGGAAATTGTTGCAGAGCTAAAGAAGCAAATAGAGAAGTACTATGAAGGGGATGATGAGGCAATTCCATCAATATTTGAAGCAATACTGAAAAGGAAATTGTCAGGGATTAACGATGATAAGTTGATGCAAGAGCTTGGGCTTAAACCTCGAAATGAAGATGTTACAGATGGAGATTCTGATTCTGATTCTGATTCAGATTTTGATGATGAGGAAGAGAAAGATTGATGATTTATGAGGTGCATGGAAATGTGGAATTGTTGTGTTGTAAATTGCAATTCTGTTTGATAATTAAAATTTTGTTTTTCTGATGTATGCAATAATCTTGTAATTAACTTGTTCTTGTATAAGATTAAAGCTCATTTTATAATTATGTTTGGATCTCTAATCTAAGCATTCAAAAGAATGTTGAGGAGAGTAAAAACGTGCAACCATGAAGGAGAACTTGCCTTTCATACCAATTTCTGGATTTAAATGCTTTCTTGCTTGTCAAATTGAAGTTATAAACACTGTAATTAAAAATATTAATATTTAATAAAAAAAGAAATATTAATTTTTAAATTTTATGTTTTTAATTCATTAGAGGCAAATGACTTAATACATAAACTTATTACTTATATATTTTTCACCAAAAATATTAAATTTTAGGTGGCCGCAAGCCAAATTGAAGATGGTGCAATCAATTGAAATTAGAATTGAAATTTAAATCAAAACTGGTTCATTTAGTTTTATTTTTGATTTTTATGAAAGTGGGATGAAAATTAGACCCTTATTTGGAAGCAAGAGTTTGGTTCCAGTTCGGTTCGGTTACCTAATTGATCCTAAAATTGTTGTTGTTGGGATTTTGAGTTGCAAAATTTTGAAAACCAACTAGTGGAGGACCGGTCTGGTTCGGTTGAACTAAAGAGGAGCGAAAACTAAGTATAAACAGGTGATTTGGGAAACCGGTTTCTTGTTTTACTTGAAATCTTTAGATTAAAAACACATCACATCTAACGGCTGATAGTTATTGGTAAGTACTGTAGCCAGAACTCCGTCAACTATCAAACCAATGGAAAACCCCAAATGCTAAAACCCTAGAAAACAAATCACAACGATGAGAAGATCTGTGCTGCGAAATGCTACTCTTTACACTCGAAGTTTCCTTCAAACCTCTTCCAATGTCAGCCCCAGAATTACAAATCACTCACTCGCCCAGCTCCCCACTTCTACTCGTTCCGCACTCAGACTGTACTCGTCTGAGTCCGACTCGTCCATTGAAAACCCCAAATTATCAGCTGAATCAGCGCTGCTAGATCAACTCAAAAAGAAGGAAGACTCCGTCGAGGTTAAAGATGTGAGCAACAAAGGTATACAAACTATATGGAAACTATTTCTTGTCATTTTTTTTATTTGTTTTTATCTATTGATTGCTAACTTGGTTTGGGCCTGTAAGTAGCCAATAACTCGAATAAGAGACTTTTCAAATTAGTGAAAAAGGATTTACGATTTACGAATTGGATTGTCTTTTGATTGCCCATTTTCTCAGGAAACAAAAGGGGCACACTTTCCTTGTATTTTTTAGCAGTTTTTTGTTAATTACTTTATGAATGGTGCTACAACAGATCATGTTAAATTGTATTTAGAGAAAAATGTCTTAATTTTTTTGAATAATATGATTTTCTAAATTTGGAAAATAGTTGAATGTTGAGAATTTTGTGAATTGATCTGCAATTTTTATTGCGGCTATGAGCAAAAATTTGATTTGGTACCATTTTAGGCTGAAAACAGAGAACAAGATTTGAACTTGGTTGTCATTTTTTTTGACAAAGGAAGAATGTTATATAACAGTCTTTTTTTTTTCCCACACTCTTAGACTTTCAGGTTTTAACTTTTTATTTATTTTTGTGATTTTAAGTTCAGACTACGTGATATTTACTTTATTGGTTGCTTGGTTTCAGAGCTGAAAGAGCTAATGGATAAGTACTTCAAGGGTGATGAAGAGGTGCTTCCTTCAATTATGGAAGCAATTTTACAGAGGAGGTTGACTGGTAAGCATGTGGACACTGACGATGAATTGATCGAGGAACTCAATATGAAGCCATTGGATGATGTGGAGGACCAAGAGTTTGAATCGGATTTCGAGGAGCTGTATCAGACTGATGAAGACATTGATGATTTGTATAATGCCAAGGAATACGTCATGAAGAAAATGGTGAAGGATCAATACTTCAACATGGATGACAAAAAATGGGATGAGATGATTAAAGAGGCGGTGGAACAAGGGTTTTTAAAGGACACAAAGGAATGTGAGGAGATTCTGGAGGATATGCTCAGCTGGGATAAGTTACTTCCAGGTATAATGATGTGACATTTTTCTTATTCGTTCTTTTTGGTGTGCCTTGTTATTTCTCTTTTATTCATGTAGACTCATTTAATATTTCAATTTGATATCAATTCTTTTTCTTCTTTTTTTCTTCAAATTTTATAAGTTCGTCATAAGTTTAGAATTTTTGTTTTTCTGGGATTTGCGATTGGAAGCACTTCATACAGTAGTTTTTGGATCTGACAGTGAATCCTTTGTTTGTAGAATGGATAAAAATTTTGAAATATATGGTTTTGAGATTCTTTATGATGTGCCACGTAAGTGTCACATAGAATTGGCATACTATGTGCAATTAGTTACTATGTTTTGCACCTATAATTTGAAGAATTTTTGACGTGCCACATAAAGTGGTTTAATATTTTGCAGTTGTTGGCAGAATGGTAATTGGGTAACTGTCAAATGGCTTGTGGGTCTAGGTGATGGCTGTTACTTGTGAACTCTCTAAGTGGAATGTGCTAAGGCTTTTATATCCAGCTCTTTATTATGATTATAGTTGCTTTCCACCTCCATAAAAGAAGCACAAACACTCATTAAAAAAAGACATAATCACTATTGCTCTATTATATATATCCTCTCTATGGTACATTAGTTACATAGTTTTAGTTTTTCTGGCAGCTGTATATGTTACCTAATTTCATTGTTTTCATCAGATGACATGAAGCAAAAGGTGGAAAAGAGGTTCAATGAGCTGGGAGATATGTGTGAAAGAGGAGAGCTTGAACCTGAAGAAGCCTATGAGCTATTCAAGAAATTTGAGGATGAGATGGTCATGGAATATGGAAAGAAAATGGAAGCGGAGGGCCCTCCAAAATTTGATGAGAGTGCTGTTCCAGACAAGAAAAAGGACTTGGATGACCCACCTGGTGAGGGGCCGATTCTTAGGTGGCAAACACGTGTAGTCCTTGCTCCAGGTGGTGATGCATGGCATCCCAAGAACAGAAAAGTGAAAATGGCTGTTACTGTCAAAGAGCTGGGTCTTTCAAAGCATCAATTTAGACGGTTGAGGGAATTGGTTGGAAAACGGTACCATCCTGGGAGGGATGAACTTACAATCACGAGTGAGAGGTAAATTCAGCAAACAATTATGTGTTCAATTTTCTGCATGCGTGATGCATAATATTATATTATAGTCAAATATCCTGTTAATTACGTGCTTTCCATGGTTCAATAAATTTGTATCTGTATGCATGTTGTTCAAAGTGGGAATAATTTAATGAGGTAGTGAAACTGTGGTGTTTCAGTAATTAAGTGATTGTACCAAGGAGATTTGGTCTAATGGTACCTGAGTTATAGCTACGAATGTTAGGTTGAACCACACTCAGAACCAAACTAACCAAAAGAGAAATTAAATGATCAAAGAAACTGTCCTAGGAAAAGCCTATGGATAAAAGGATCCATCTAGCCTTAGTCCATTATTTTGGGTTAGATTTACTTGAATTCAATATTAAATTGATTGTGTTTCACTATTGCCATTTTTCATCATTCAAAGCAAAATATGGCGATCCTTTCAGCCAAGTTAATAGCCTCTTTTTATCAACTTAAAAAAATTTTCTCATTCTTTGGCAGCAGATGCTGCATGATTATCATACACAAATGAATTATGTTGATTAACATTCTCATGCGTCTCCATCTTTTGCAATAAATACTTAAAGTTGCAAATGATTTTGCTTTTGAAGGTTTGAACATCGAGAAGAAAATAGAAAAGATTGCCTTAGGACCCTCTTTTCACTCATTGAGGAAGCTGGGAAAGCAAACAAGTTGGCAGAGGATGCTCGAGCCTCATACGTCAAGGGACGACTTAGAGCGAATCCAGCTTTCATGGAGAGGTTGCATGCCAAGATAACAAAGCAAAAAGCTGAAGCCATCTCTGCGTGATAATAAAGTTGCTGCCCCTCGTGGAAGAAGGAAAGTTGCAGGAAGTTTTCCTGATAACCATCTGTTTTGTTGTTAGTGCCTTTCTGGAGATAAATTATATGACTGTATTGTTCCTTACCACAAATTTAGGGCCAAAACAAGTTACATTATTTTGCATGCTGTTGAAGTAGTCAATTACTTGTCACTAACAGATGCCCTTCTTGCTGAGAAAAAATACCTTGTTGATCCCCTCTTTTTTACATTTTTCTTTTCTTTTAGATTAATTGTCTATTTTATGCTATGTATAGATCTTCATTTATATTATTATGATGCTATATGCAACTCGGTCTTGTACTTTTGGGTACCTGAAGTTTAGTGTTTGGAGATCAGAAATTGTGTGATTGATTTTAATGCAATGCAATATAAAATTCATTCTGTAATATAATGAGATTTAAGTGTTTTGGGATCAGAAATTGTGTGATTTATTTTAATCGAGTTATATTAGAATTTGGACTGATAATCTGACAATTCTAGTGATAATCATACTCTAATATGATAATCTTACAATTCAATCATAAACAATGTGTCTCTTTTCTCCGTTGCTTTCCATAAAAAAGAAAATATTTTTCACAATTTTCCATTCTTTGAGGAAGCAAAATAATTTAACGGGAAATATTTTTTTGGTTAAAGGAAAATAATTTCGTAAAATATTTTCTGAACTTCGACAAATTTATTAATTTATTAATCATCGGTAGCTATTATCATCACTCACTGTTCACCACCAGCCATTATTGTCGGCCACCACCACAGATCCCCGGTGATTTTCATAATTTACCAAATTGTTTGCATTATTCTCATATTTAACAATAATATTTTTAAAATACGAAATTTATCTTATTATTATTATTATTATTATTATTATGAGTTCAAAATTTTAATATTTTAAACTAATTTTCAATTTTGCAACTAAACGATGGAAAATAAGTTGTTTTGAAAAATAATTTTTAAGAAAAACATTTTTCTTAAAAAATATTTTTCAAAAGTAAATTGTTTTCCGGAAACAGACAATGCTATAAAATGCTATAATGTCCAAATTTACCCTATTTTATCCTGGAAGCAAAATATAGATCATTGCAATAAAATGCATTCTCTCTATTTTACAATGGTGATCCAATTTTATAAATTATTGCAATAGATATTCCTTTTTAAGTTTTCTTTTATCAAATTGTTATTCATTTCTTCATGGATTCTCCATGATTCTATTGGTGTAAGCTATTGCATGTCTTCTTAGAGCTTTTCATCTCATTATTTACCTAAGCAATTTGTTATTCATTTCTGAATGAAATATTTAACAAATAAGGAATGCAAAACAACATCTTTGTTCAATTTTTACATATAACATTAATCAATCAATGATTGACAAAAAAAAAGTAAAATAAAGTATTTCAAGAAAAAAGATCAATCAATGAATTGCAATTAAAAAAAAAAAGAATTCACAAAATCAAATAAGTAAAATAAAATAATTGCTTTTCCTTTTTTTTTATAAAATTTAGATTTCATAAATATTCAAAAAAAATGCTTATTATGAATAATAAGTTATTCATTTTTTTAAATAAAAGTTATTATACATTTAAAACTACAAATAAAACATATTGTAAACAATAATGGGTTTAGATCTAAATTTAAAACCAAATCACCATTTAAAAAAAAAAATAAAAAATCAAAATGAAGCACAATTATTCTTATTAAGTCTAATATCTATTTAATTATCGTCCTATTTCTTGTTATTAATCCAATTTTATCGAACAAAATACTACTTAAAACAAATTGAAGAAAATAGTCTTTTCACCTCTTTTTCATCTTTTTGGTTAGCCATCAATGAGTATTCTTATCTACTGTGATTCCCTTCTTCTACTACGTATATTCCATAATACTTATAACATTTAAGAAAATAATTTGTTTCAAAATATTATTTATAATTTTAAGGAATAATAAATATTTTTTTTCTATATTGACCTTTTGTGGCCAATAACTATTACTTTAATTTAATGGTTTTATAACAATATTAGAGTTAAATTAAAGGCAATACAGTGAATTTACTCAATAAGTCATTATAATTTAGACAAATTTAATGATTTTTTTAAAAAATGTGAAATTTTAAATGTGAAGTAGTAATATTTGTCTTTTGTATATCCCTTCTATACAAAATTTGAGTAAATACATCAAAATTATTTATTTTAATAGGTGGTCATCACTTTCATGGTGATTTTGCTTGCATTAATTTATTATATGGACGACGATGCAAATCCAATATAAATTTTCTTTTTAGTATGCAGAAGAATTTTGAAGGATACCAAATTAAGTTTATGATTTATTTTCACCTGTGGCACCTGAATTATAAGCCTTATTAATTAATAATATTCATAGACTTTAATTCTTCACTTAAAATTACATAAACTATTAAAAAAAAAAAAAGTCATTTAAGTTTCCCGTGATTTTCCAATAGAAAACTGACGGAAATATTTTTTTAACAAATTAGTGAAAAATAAGTCCACGTCAAATTGTCTCATATTTTCTCTCTCCTACCTTCTCTTTCGAACCCTTTGCATTGAATCCTTAAATCTTTTAAAATCAATTCTAAGCCAAAACTTACCCTTTCTACTCCAATGAAGCAGACTAATCAGAGCAAAATGATGATCTCTATACAATCCTTGAAGATTATTGCCACTAAGTCCATGTCGATCCTATGATTCCTATCATGAGGCTGAAGAATGATTGTTGGTCAAAGAATCAGAGCAAGACACATGAACTAGAAAGAGAAGTGGATGTCAGACTTGTGGCCATCACAGAGACAGGAGGCGCAGATGCCAACGGTGCTACTGAGGTCGCAAGGATGTTCCTTGCGTGATTGTTTATGAAGATAATAATAAGGCATTCATGTGGAGATAGGGTCATATTGTCATTTTTCCTGAGTTTTGAAGAGATCTGATGAGGAAATGAAAGGGGAAAGAGGAGATCATGATGACCTTTTTGTCTCTTAATTCTCAATTTTCAGTGATGTTATGGCCTTTGTATTTTTTTTTTCTTTAATAAGTTGAATATTTTCTTTATTGAGATGATATTGAAGAAAATTGAGTGGATTTGATGTGACTTTTTTTTAAAAAAATATTTTGCTAAAAAAATAATAGCACGTCAGCTTTTGACGGAGAAATTAGCGGGTGAAGGTAACTGCTAACTGGCGAAATGACTTCTATATTATCCGAATAATAATTTATATATTTCAGTGTTACATAATTGTATTTTGCTCAATTTTCTTTTTGCTTTTTTCCAAAAAAGAACTCAAAAAAAAAAAAAAAATTATTTGATTGAAGTAAAGTGGATACTGAAATCCAACCTAAAGGACAGACTAGATTTGACAGGCTTTTCTTTTTCACTTCTGATTTTTCTTTTTTCTTTTTCTGTTCTTTCTCCTTTTACGTTTTACAACCTTGAGGATGCGTAAGGGTAGACGTTTTTCAAGACCGTGAGAGAAAGGTTCATCGCCTTTTCTGAGACGACACATTCTTTTCTGTTCTCTGTGCTCTGTTCGTCACCGTTTCTCTTTCTCCTCATCCAGACACCTCCTCTCCTTACTCCATTATTCTGTGAACTAAAATCATCTTATACAATTTCTGGACCCTGAATTTCATTTTGGAAATATGATTATCTGATGTATCAATGTAAGTAATTGCCCTAATCTTAACTCTTCTTCTTCTTGTCATGGTTTGTTTCACTTACTTTCCTTTCTTGTCTGTAAATTGTAAATTGTAATGGTTTCAATTTGGGGTTTGTCTATGGAATTTGATTTAGGTTTTTTCAAACAACTAATAACAAATATAGAAATTAAACCAAAAAAAGTATCTAACTTTATTAGTTATAAATTATTCCTTGGTCTTTAGGGATTAAAGTGTATACTTGAATTAGTGTTGGATCTCTTACTTACAACATATTTCAGGAAGTAATTGTAGTAATCATCCTTTTATTTATTCTTAATTTGCAGTAATTTGCTTACTTGTTCTATTTTCTTTGGGATTTTACTCTTACCCAAATGAATGATCTCCTAATTTTGATGATGATTTAATATTAATTACCTGCAAAATTAATCAAAAGATTGCAGAAATATGTGTTGGACGTTTCTTTTGTTTTCTTTTAATTAGCCACTCTTATCTTTATTTTCAGTTTTTTGTTTTTACCAATGTTCCATAAAAGCTTTCAAGTAGACAAGAATATCTTATTTTTTAAACAAGAATTTTAATTCTGAAGTTATTGTTGTACTATATATTGTTAAATTATTTGTTGTTCGGTATTCTTTGTGTCGATAGATTGGAATTTCATGCAAACAATATCGACCATCAAGAACTTAATCTGTTGCTGGAAGAATCTGCAGTCTGCATATGTGAAAAAGACTTGAAAGCATATTCCAAAAATTGGTTCCAATTTGATAAAAAGTGAAACGAAAAAAAAAGATGGTATAAATTTCAAGAAAAAGTATGTGCTGTGTTCATAGTACTCGTTGGAATCTTTATCATTCTTGAAACAGAAAACTACCATTCATAATAATGGAAGGCAAGTTTCTCCTTAGAGATGAAGCAAAGATAAATTCCTATGGCAAAGGACATGAAAGAATAAAGGAGGCAAAGCCGCCTTCCAGTAATTCATGTTCTTGTTCTTCTTTGTGTAAAGAGCAAGATCAAAATTGTTATTATAAAGCTGTAGAATTTTCTTGCGGTGCTTGTTTATTCTGTGCTTCTTGTCCTCTGTGTGTTGCTTGGTGCTGCATTAAGTTGCCCTGCAAGATTGGATGGAGAGCTGCAAAGCATGCTTGTGGTCGTTATTGGACTTGTTGTGGATCAAAGAAGAAAGTATATGAATCATATTCTTCGTTTTCTGATTTGGATTCTGATAGTTTGCCTAGTAAAGCGGGAAAATCTGAAAGCAGTTATTCGTCTTCGAAGACCAGATTGAAGTTTAGAGCTAATGAATTGCAACGTAGAAGGTCTGCTGCTGAAAGTTGATTTTTTTACAACAAATTTTTTCTTTTTTGTGTTTTCATGTGTTTATATTGTTTAAATCTTTGGTTTTATTGCATCTTTTATCATTGATATTGACTGGGACTGTTAATTGTCGAGATGGGTAATTTTTGTGCATTTCTTGCAAGGGATTTGCATCATCATGTAGAGGGAAATTTGGTTATTGGTAAATTTCTATTTTCTCTAAATAATTGCTCTTCTTGAATGAACATGTTGTGTCTTCTCCTTTAGGGGCCCATTTGAAGAAAACCCTAAAACCCTTTTGTCATCTTTTGTTTCATGTATTTTGTAAAATCCAAGCGAGAAATTAACATCATAATACAAAAAATGATTTGTTTTGTATTTTAAAGAAACTTCAAGAATTCAATAATTGAAAAGACATGAAGCTAAGAAAAAGTCAAAAAAAAAAAAAAAAAATGTATTTAAAGAAACTTCAAAGAATTCAATAATTGAAAAGACATGAAGCTAAGAAAGTCAAAAAAAAAAAAAAAAAACAAGATTCAATAATGATTTTGTTTAGGTTATTTCCCTCTTTTGCAAAAAAAAAAAAAAAAAACAAGAGTTCAATAATGATTTTGTTTAGTTATTTCCCTCTTTGCTTTCTTTGAGGCTTTAAAACATCAAAATGCACATTGAATATAATTTTAAAAGTAAAAGAAATTAAAAGATGCAATTGGAGGTTCAAATATACATGAGACTTTTTTTTTTTTACTATTTTTTTTCGCCTACTTCAAATATTGGAAACTAAAAACTTTGCAACTTGTTTGTAATTGCATTATATTTTTGGCTTAATTTTTTAAAATATCAATTGTTTTAGTTTTTTTTTTCACTCTATTTTGATTTTTTCACCAATTTTACTCTAATTTGAACCTTTTATAGCAATAGTATCCTCAATTGTAATTAAGAATATAATTGTAAATAAAAAATTAATACAAAAAATAAAATTCTAAATGTCCTTTGAATATCAAATAATATTTACATCTAGTGAGTGACACATTTAAGTATATTATCAATTCAAAAAATTATAATAATAAGAATTTTTTTCATTCTTAAAATATAGATAATAAAAAAAACGTAATTAAAAAAATTAGATTTTATTAATTTAGTTTTTGCTCCATGTATGGGGTTTTTTTTTGTGAGTAATATAAATTTATATTGTTTGATTATTAACATATATTTAAAAATTAAACTTAGTCTGTGTAACAATATTTTTAGACAATTAGACTAATGAAATTATTTTTAATTTTTACTAGAGTAATATGGTGATTTAGAAAGATGAAAACATTTTTTTACTTGCAATTGCATATTTAATTGAGGGTGATACTGCTATAAAATGTAGAAATTGGAGTAAGATTGATAAAGAATCAAAATAAGGTGAAATTATAAAAACTTGTAAAGTTCGAAGTATTCTAATATTTTAGTTTTTTTTTTTTATAAATATATCATAAAATGAAAATTAAAAATTAATTACATCCAATGGTCAAAATAAAGTACAATTACAGCATCTAAAATATGTAATTAATTCTCCCTTCTTTGTAATAAAATGACTTTTTTTGAATAAAAAAAAGGACCTTATTAAAGAATCAATGGAGCATCATAAATTCAAGAATGATAAGTAGTAAAATAAAATTAATGAAGAAAAAAGTTATTTTGATATAATATATTAAGATTTCACAAAGAAATAAATTAATAATGCTCTGATTTCAATTAAATAACATAAATTGTTCAATAAATAAATGAAAAATAAAAATAATTATGTCAAGAATGGGATTCGAACCCATGCCCTTTCGGACCAGTACCTGAAACTGGCGCCTTAGACCAACTCGGCCATCTTGACACTGATATTTATGTTTGTTGTGTATTACACTTAGACCAATGGACATAATAGTGTAATACTACTTGTTTATTTTTTTTCATGCTTTATATTAAGATATCTTCATTTTTCTAATTTGTTTAAAAGTAGAAATTTTTATACTATAATATCAGAGATTCATAAATCAGAAAAAATTCATATATTTAGTCTGATCTAATATATTGAATTCTAGTTCTAATCAATAAGGCGATAAACAATTTCACTTACCAGTTAATGCCATATTAAAATTAGAAATAATAGATCAAGTCTTAATAAAAAAAATGGAGCTCAAAATTCTCTTTGATGATTATAGGGACATGAGAGATAATACTAATATGATATAAGTATGGCCAATCAGGCATGCTTCAGTTAGAATTTTCACACACCATTCGGGAAGTGTGAAAAGTGAAAGTTAAAATTCTTCCTATCATAATAACTTAAATTTAAATTTGGAATTAAAGGAAAAGTGAAATTTTGCAATATATAGATAATTTAATTGTGATTAATGCCTCTAAGATAATATTTTCATCTCAAAGTCTAATTTAAAACTCATGGCTAGTCTAGTGATAAGTGTATGTACGATTTGATAATATAGTCAGATTCGAATTCTCCACTCCAATACTCGGAAAAAACAAAAAAAAAAAAACAAACCCACTGCCATGTATATACATATTAACACAATTGTTTTTTTTTTTTTAAAGTATATAATAACCATGTAAAAAAAATATTGGAGATACTAGATAAAGCAGTTAATTCGTTTCATATATAAAATTTATAAGAAGATGAATTCTAATTAGGCTTGAAGATATGATATATCTAGTCATCATCATAACTTCCTCTCAAAATTTATACGACACCTTAAAAAGAAGAATCACATACATAAGTGGCCGATAACACAATTTATCCACCACAAGCAGCGCCGCAACCGGCGCCACAACCAGCGCCATAAATGGTTGAATCAACGTCGGAAGACTTTTCTTTAGCCCCTTCTGCACAAGCCAAGATTATGGCTGACAGTAAAGAAAGGGTTAACAAAGCTGCCCACATTAGCATTAGACAACCGCCGCCACTACTGCTATTGACGCCGTCTGCTCCTCCGACCAAGGTGATCGCCTCCTTCCATTGCCTCACCATCTTTGCAGTGTGTGTGTGTGAGCATAACCTAGCTCATGGCCTTAGAGCAAGTGGGGTTCTTATATTGGTTGCAATCAAGAAAGGTCAATGTGTTGCACACATGAATATTGCATTATTTTAGCTTTATGTGATTCTCGTTGTTGCACTCGAATTGGCAGGCAATACAAATACAATACCATCAGAATTTTGACATCAAGATAATGGGGTCAATGCTCCCACTATGCACCAATATTATAATATAAAATATATCCAAATATATTTATATAAATTAGCGAGATTAATATGAATGGAAAGATTTCATTAGCTTAATTAAGACATCGAGTGTTTCATTTGCAGATGATTATATTTAAAAAAAAAAACATTAATCTCAATTACTAACTGATTTGAGAATGCACTTAAACATTCAAATAAGAATACAAATTGGTATAGTTTTTATTAAATCAAAGAGATGGATAAAAAATATTGTATATATATTAATTATTGTTGACTTAATTGTAGAATAAAATGTTTGTATATAAGATTATCAATTACAACCCTAATATAAACTAAATCAAATAATATTTATTTTATGAAAATTAACTAATATATATATTTTTTATTTTAGCATCCAAAAAGAGTAATTTTTAAATATATGGATTTACATATGGATCCACCTTCAAGCTAGTAGTGGAGTGTGGCAACCTGCCACAACTAGGTACCCATTAAATTTCTCTAGTTTATTTCAGAATAATTTAAAAATTGTCTTTCTGACTAATATTTTCATTGAGGAAGAGGAAGGCACATCTAGTCCAACCTTATCTTCAAATGGGTATCCGAATAATGCAATTATTTGGCAAAGTGGGACTACTTTTTTCCCATCAAGCTTAAAGTAATTAAGCCATAAAACAACATTATTGGAGCTTTATAGATTAATAAATCAATTAATTAAGCACATTGTGGAGGCCAATTAAGAAATTTATAATGTTTAATCATGCTTTTTTAAGTGGAAAAATTCTCAAAAACATATGTTGGATCTTTAATTTTCTATTCCATTGGCTTTCCCTTTTGATTGATAATGAACAGCACTCTCCAACTTTCATTTATTATATGTGAATCTAAAATGGTATATACAAAATAGTTGCTTAAGGGCCAAATTTAGTCCAACACATAGATTTCCGACATTCGATGGTGGCTGTGTTTCCAAGAGTCAACTCCACGTAAGCCACGGCTATTCTTATCAATAGCCCTCAGCCAGGAATTAAAATTAGAGTTAGGTTAAACAGGTTGGTGTCATAAACGGGTCATTCATTTATGATATGAATATAAACATGTTCTGTTATAGGTTGGCACGTGAGTTACGCGAGTGACTCCGTTTATTTTAAGGTAAAGCGATAATTTTAGTGTTAGATATAGATACTCCGTCTAAAATCATATTTAAACTTTATTGTTATATTATTTTTTATTTTAGTTATGAATCTAGAGGAATATATGCATTTCATGTATGAAATTTTATTTTTAAATATGATTTGAATTAAATAAATTAAAATTAAAAATTATAAACAAGTTAAGCGATTTGTATTCAGGTCAACACGAGTTAATTAACCTGCGTATGATATTAGGCGGATTATATATATTGTACTCGTATTACTTGCATAATTTTTATGTTGTGTTCATGTTGACAAATTTAACACGATTATTAAATGAATCGTGTCATATTAATCATGATCGTGTTGTGTGTTAACTGAATATGTATCAAACTCAACAAATCAATTCATTTTAACACTTCTATTTTAAAGAGTAAAATAAAAAATGTCAATAATTTATATTCTTATAAGTTCATTGGATTACCAATTTTTATATTCTCATAAGGTCAAATACATAAATTGGCCCTTGAAGAACGGTCTATTGTTCTCCAGAAATGCAAGATCCAATAATAAAATACACATGAATAAACTTTTCCATACACACATTTACATAAATTTATATACACACATTACATAAATTATATTATATATAATTATTATATATAGATATATGATAATTTATATATATATATATATATATATATGCATAAATAGTATTTATTTGATATATATATGCATAAATAGTAATTTATTTGACCTTTTCCTTCACCGGACCTCTTGGTATTTTGTTAAGAACGTTCGAATCAAACCTTCGGTAGGTTTTCTTCAGTTGTCGGAATAACCTGCCAACAAACTCGTCGACTTCTGCTTCGTATCGGTTATACAGAAATGGGAGTGTTTGGAAGCAAAGAAAACCTTAAACCATTAACAAGCAAGAATTATCAGATTATAATTTAACTAATCTTAGATAATTAATGGATTAATCAAAAGATATTGATCAATGGTTCTTACCGAAGTAAATAAAATTCAAGAAAGTGAAATAGCCTCCGATCATCGATAATATGTAGAGAGAAATAATTGTCTGACAGCAATAAATTGAAGCACTAATTAATTAAAAGCTTGAATTGATTTTTTTTTTTTTTTGAAATTAAGATATTTTTCACAACAAAAATGTAAATTAATTATATAATATGGTTAATTAATGGTATAGTACCAGAATGAAGAGTACTGGATCTTTTCCATATGCAATGTCAAGCAGCTTTGACAAAGCTTGATTGAACCTTTCATGGAAGGAAGAACCAAATTCTTGAAATGCTTGTCCATCAAATATGCTTCTTGGTATCTTTGGAGGACTCCTGAAAAACAAAAACAAAAAATACATTTTTTTAATTGGATAAAGTTTACATGCAACTAGTGCAATTAAGATTAAAAAATAGTTTTTAATTTTCAGTATTAATTTTAGTCTTCATCTGTTTTTTATCCTTTTGGTCAATTTGAAGCTGATTCGGTCATTAGTTCTAAAAAGTTGGCCTTATGGCAGTGCCGCATTTTATGTTGTTTGCTAACTTTTTAAAGCTAACGGTCGTATCAATTCAAATTTATAAATGTTAAAATTGATACTGAAAATTAAGTACATGACATCGATTCATAAAATTTAAAAAAAAAAAAAAAAGCAAAATTTGATAAAAGGTTAAAGTCTGAGATTTTTTTATGATTTGGGCCAAATAAAATTTGGTGAGATAAAAATGAAATAGTAAAAGGAAGAAGTTACCAATTGAAAAAATCAGCAAGGGTGCACCAAATGAAGACAACAAGCATTGCGGTGATGGAAATGTGACATAGAAGAGTGACAAAGTTGTATTCAACCACCTCAAAAAGAAACCATATAATACTCATCCCAATTGTAAGTGCTGCTGATACATTTATGTTTTTCCATAATAAAACATCTGCAACTGCAATTTCCAACACCAAATTCTTTCATTACTACAAGATTTTTCAAAATTTAAAATCTAACAATTATATTTACTTTAAAATTTTTAAATGCCATGAAATAATAGAAATATAAGAGTACCTTTTCCTCCTCCTAGAACATCATGGATTGATCTTTGCCTCCCAAAGAGCTTCTTCCCCTTTGAAATGATTTCATCATCTGAATCTGATGAATAATTATGTGACATAATTTTTTTTTCTTAGTTATATAAAATTCTCTCTGTAACCAAATAAATTGGATGTGTTAATATATTATATATATATAAATGGGTAGAGGCTTGGGGAGGTTCTAATCTTTGTGATAAAGAAAAGTTGAATTAAAGAAAGGAATGGCTTTGGCTTGCATATGCAGGGCATTGCTTTATATGGCGGCTACTATTAACATTAAAGTACTCGAAATAGATAAATCATGATGCTTGTGGCATCAATCAATAAATTAATAACTGTTTGTTTTTTTAATTATTATAATTAAATTTTTGAGATTGGAAAATATTTTTTTTCTTAAAACAAAAGGTATTTTCATTATGAATAATTTATTGTTAAATAAATATTTTTTTTAGTGACTAAAATTTTTCTAAACCCTACACGTACTGGAGAGCTTTTAAAAAAGCTAACCGGAATTTGCTTTAGTTTCATCCAATTTATCAACTTGGCTATTGTGTTTTTTTTTTTATATACATAGAAGCCTAATGGATCATTCTAAAACCTCCTCTTTGAATAACATTTACCAAGTTAACCGTAATCTTTGTGATGGAGAGGATTCGAACGAGACCTTTCACTTCCTATATTTTCTAGGAGAGGTAGAAAAACCAATCAGACCACACTTAATTGGCAAATTGGCTATAATTTAATAATGTGAAAATAAATATAAAAAAATATGTTGTTGAAATGTACTACAAATAATAATATAACAGTCTCTAAATTGTATTAAAGTTTCAATTGATCTTTACATTAAATTTAAAATTAAAATTAAAATAAATAAATTATATTTAATCTTCTGCGCAATTTCTTCAATTTTCGGACATTATGCAAAATTTCTTGCAATTCAATTGTATTAGAATTTTTCCTTAACCAATATTTTGTGCAAACAAATGCAAGTAATTAGATTATGGCTTTAAAATTTGAAGTTAAATATAGTTAATATGATTAACCAATTAAAGATATGTAATGTGATAAGAATAAATATATTGTCCAACATTATTTATTTATTATTAATTTTTATATTTTTTAATTTTATTCGATTCAATGTATCAGTTTTGACTATCAAATTATAATTAAATCAATATTGATGGTTTTCAGAATTTACAAATCAATTAAACTATTCATATCCAAAACTGCATTTTCAATTTAGTTTGAGTGAATTTAGTTGGGTTTCAACGATTTGAAGTGGTTTATAAATGCAAACTAGGAATACATGTGGATCAGATTCATTAATTTAAAGTATATGATTAGTATGTGCTGTTAATAATTTTTTTAACTCAACCAACTCATTAAATACGTTAACTCACAAGTTATGAACGAGTTAGGTTTTAAGTATGGGTTCAATATAAATCTACGGATGAAATGATAAATAACAAATATTTTTAAATAAAATCTAATTTCTTAAGAGAAATTATAAAAAAAAATTAAATATACTTAGAATTATAATTATACAATAGTTTGTAATATGTTTTAAACTATATATACTCCAATAGCAACATTTCAAACAAAGTTTATACTGAAGATAAAAATAATAATTTAGTATTTATATTTAAAGTTACAAATCAATTTATCTATTCTATTCTATATATTAAAAGTGTGAATAAGGGGAATAATGAGATTTTCAATATTGTTTTATAAAATTTAAGATATCCTAAAAATAACATTAATCAACTAAAAAATTTTAACATAAAAATATATATAACATTTCTATAATTTAATTGGATTTTTTTTTCAATGAGATATTACCATATAAGACATATAACTAAAAGAAATATTTATTGTATATATAAAATGTAATATAATTTAACTACTATATTTATTGCAATCTAAATAAAATATATAAAATGTAATATAATTTAACTACTATATTTATTGCAATCTAAATAAAAATTTATATTTTAATATTACAAATAAAAAAGTTAAATGAATATAAATAATGATTATGTAACGAGTATAGTCAATATGCATCACAAGTCATTATAAGAATTAGTATATTTATATATTGATATTATTTATGAATTGAATTGAATCCGCGGATTTATGTTTTGAAGTTGTGACTCAATGTAATCCGTAAATTATAATTATGATCCATTGAATCTAATTCATTGTATTTTCAACCCGCTGGATTGAATTGGATTCGGTTAAGTCACTTGGATTGGTTCGGGTTATCGCGTGCAGCCCTAAACCTAACCCAAACACAGACAAACATAGTTTATGTATATATTTAAGTAATACTACTTTAACAGACCAACAACAACGAATACATCTAAACGACAACAAAAAAATAAATAATAAACAATGCAAACGACAACGAATACAAACAACACGTACCGTCCTCAGAGGGAACAAAAACTGACCAACAACAACAAAAAAAAAAAAAAACAATATTGACATGAATTAAAAAAGCCAAACGTACCGTCCTCAGATCAACACCCTGGTTTGCACCAGTCGGAAAATGGCATTCCTTTTCGATTCTTTATTTCACAACCCAATCAAAATCTCTCCGAAACCCGCCTCTCAAGTCCACCAAACCCCAAATCAAACAGATGCTGTCAATTTCATGTCACTATCTTTCCCTGCAAACCACCCCAAAACCTTTAAATGTCCCTAAAAAACTTATTTGGAAGTCTTGTGCAACCAAAGCAATGGCTTCAGCTACCCCTAACACAGCAACAAGCTTTGGGTTTCGGGATTTGATGGAAACTTTGACAATAGATGTGGAGAGAGCAGAGAATAGGCCGTTAAACGTGCCTTTGATAGCTCCTTTTACAATTGCATCTTCTAGGCTTGATAAGGTAGAGAATGTAGCAATCAGGATTGAATTGAGTAATGGGTGTGTAGGTTGGGGTGAAGCTCCAATATTGCCGTTTGTTACTGCAGAGGATCAGTCAATAGCTATGGCCAAGGCAGAGGAGGCTTGTGCGTTTCTGAGGAGCAGCTCGCCAATGACTTTAGGTTCGCTTTTGCAGAAGATTGGCGGGATACTTCCTGGGCATGACTTTGCTTCTGTAAGTGAATTGAGATTTTTCGTTGGTTTTGGTTTTTATTATCTGTTATTATGTTTCTCCTAGTTTTGTTGATCCCTCGTTTTATTTAACTTACTTATAAATTGAGCGAACTGTTTTATTTCTTATAAATTAGTTGGATAGAAATGAGTTATCATTCTTCACGGAAAAGGGTGAATTATTATTTAGTCCCTTTATAATGGTGAATACACTAAGTTGGAATCTCCAATACATAACAGAAGAGTAAGAGTGAGATTTTAAAATTCAGAATTCTTTGTGACGTGTATGTGTGACTTTTCAGTTCGGGTGGCCATTGAATCAGTTAAAGTACATACCTTTCAGTTTTATTATGGCTTTGGTGAGTATAAAACAGTATACATGCACGTCCTCTTCTCTAAAGATTGTTGACCTGAACTTTAAAAAATTAAGTATCAAAATTAGCCATATCCTGATATTGGTGGTTGATTGAGTTGGAACTTAAATGATTGAATTAATTTTGCAAGATAATAGAAGCAAATATTATGTAAGTATAATCATATCTTTCATATATTTTGCTCAATCTGCTCATCTCTGCTTCCGGTGATATATTATATAATTGAAGAATTTCTGTTTCCAGGTGCTTATAAATGTGTAATGATACTAATTTTGACTAAATCCCTGATGTATACATGAAGGTTATATGCCCTTTTTTGCAATAAGGTTCTGATGGAAATTTGTTATAATGATTTTTTTCTTCATTTTCCTTCTCGTCTTTGGGAACAAAATGGATTTCTTTCACGAGTACTAATTAATATGTTATTCATTGAAAGGTTAGGGCAGGAATTGAGATGGCGTTGATTGATGCAGCGGCAAATAGCACTAGCATACCTCTGTGGAGACTATTTGGTGGAGTTTCTGATAGCATAACTACTGATATAACAGTTCAGTGCCTTTGGTAGTAATTATTTGGTATAGAAAGATAATTACTCTTTTTGAGGTTTGAAATACATTGCATTTTGCAAAAATCACTTTCTGCAATCGGAGGCTTTTCATTTTAACTCTGTTTCTTCATAAATATGAAATATATGTACATCAAGGTAAAATAGATAAGAGTTCTATCCTTGAAAAGTATGCTTATCCACATTACTCATGCAGATTCCCATTGTATCATCTCTTGAAGCTGCTGAATTGGCTTCAAATTATCGCAAACAAGGATTCAAAACTTTGAAGCTCAAGGTGGGAAAGAACCTCAGGGCAGACATTGAGGTTCTTCAGGCCATACGATTAGCTCACCCTGATTGCTTCTTTATCTTGGATGCTAATGAGGGATACAAAGCCAAGGAAGCTATTGAAGTTCTTGAAAGATTACATGGTAAATTTAATGTTTGCTTTTTCATAATAGCTTTAGCTCTATTTGACTGCAGAGCGAGTACTTCCTGAGTTATACATTTTTTGCTCTTTCTTTCTTGATTTCATTAACACAGTGCATTTTGGAGTGCTTTGCACCCTAGCAGATTTTGCAGCTTTTGTGAGTATCAATGCTGCTTTTTCTGCAATCTGACTTTAGAATGACGCTGAATGCAATATCTGCCTATTACTGAATGTGCAAATCTACTATTACTTGTGTTTAACAAATTTGAATGCCATTCACATTTGGCCCACTTAAATACACTCGAAAATTCATACATAGTAATTCTCCCTTCTGTGCACTTGCTTCATTGGCTAACTGAATATAGAGAGTAGAATTCTTCACTTGTGCATGTTCCTCTCTCCCTCCCTCCCTCTGTTCATCCCTCTTCTTAATCATGTTGACCAATTGAATTTTTGTAGGCAATGATATGGAAACTAACTTGAACTACAATGCTTTTATCACAGAAATGCAGGTTACTCCTATTCTCTTTGAACAGCCAGTTCATAGAGATGATTGGGAAGGCCTTGGTCATGTTACTAATATTGCGAAAACCAAATATGGAGTATCTGTTGCAGCTGATGAAAGCTGTCGGGGCCTAGCTGATGTGAAGAAAATAATAGAAGGAAGTCTTGCAGATGTCATTAACATTAAGCTTGCCAAAGTTGGGGTTGTTGGGGCACTTGAAATTATTGAGGTTGCAAGGGCATCGGGATTGGATTTAATGATAGGTGGTATGGTTGAGACCAGGCTAGCCATGGGCTTTGCAGGTCACCTTGCAGCTGGCCTTGGGTGTTTCAAGTATGTCCAGTGAATTAATTACTGTTTGGCATAGCAAATGGCATCCTACATAATTAGCTTTTTTTTTTTTTTTTTTTTTTTTTTTTAATTTTTTTTTTTTTTTTTTTTTTTTTTTTTTGAGTTTTATTTATCTTTGTCATTGTCAACTTCAAAATTTTGTTGTTTATGCTTCAAGTATAAAATACTACCCTTCTGATTGTCCAGTAACAAATTTTCTTTACAGGTTTATTGACCTGGATACACCCCTTCTGTTGGCAGAAGATCCTGTTCTTGGAGGTTATGAAGGTATTAAACTTTATTCTTTAGCTATGATATATATATATATATCAGTGTATGGCTGGAGTAGTTTGCCATCCTCTACCTTTAATGGCTTGAAATTTAAATTTTTGGCATTATATGGCTAGTGTCTGGTGCTGTGTACAAATTCACAAACGCTAGAGGACATGCTGGTTTCCTTCATTGGGACAATATTATTTGGTGAGTCTTCATCATAAGCTCTTCAATTAACTGGCACAAAGTTTAACATTCTCTTTTCGTTTTGATATTTAGGCTATTTTGAAATTTTGCAATATCATTAGTCCAATTTAAGTTAGATGACAGTAAATTACCCTTTGGTCTTCAGTTTTTTATGTCGTGTTTCTCTTGTATGGTTAGTATACTGCAGCTGGTAAGCATAAGCATCAGGATACAACACCTTATGTATCGCAGTTATGGAAAGTTTTTTATTTGTGTTCGCTAGATTGCCTCAGAAGCAAGCTCTAAGTTTATACTCAATAGTCTCTGACATCAAATTGACTTCTCTAAATTGTTCCTTATACAGAATTTGTTTAACTGCTGAATTTTCTTACTAAACTCAATGTCAATAAGAAAATAAGTTTCTGGAGTTGTACTGTTTGTTATCCTGTCGCGCATACTAATCAATTAATCATGCTATTATATGCAGAAATTAATAATCTCCATGGCCTGCTACGTGTCTAAGAGGAGCACTCAATTGAACACTTTTAATATGACTGATTGGCTTCAATTTCCCCAAGGCTTGCTACCAAATGCAGAAAATGAGCACAAGTGGTCTTTGCAAGTGTAAGGATTTTCTGGTTGCAATGACTAGCAATTTAAGCTTAGGATGCTTCTTTGACCTGGTAGATCAAAATCATGTTCTTCTGAGCTGTGATGAATAAAGATCTTGTTTATGCTGACAATTGTGAACTATAATTGTTAATTGTTGTCTCCCATTGCCATACATTTCCTTTGCATGTATTTTTATTCTAAAATTATATATTTTCACTAAATTTTGACTCTTAAATTTGAAAATTATTGGTTTAATTCAAAACTTGGATCATTTTGAAACGTGTTTTAAAAAAGGTAAATTTATATTTCATTTTATTAAATACAATTACTTTTTATGGTTTGAGGAGAGGCTCGTTAACGGACGAAATTAAAAGTATTAGTTAAAATTTAAAAAAAAAAAAAAAAAATCAAAGTTAGAGGCTTTTTTTATCATTAAATTTTTTGAAATGATGACCTGGCTACTATGTGGCGCTTATGTAGTGATGTGTGGAATTCACATGTTAGCGAGCTTCTTCCGGTTTTATTGCTACAAAAGACGAACAACATGTTTGATAATAGTAACATGTTAATAGTTTTTTTAAGTAACTGGATCAAAATGCTAAATGTTAAATAATAGTTAAATATTATTAAAATAGTTATCAGTTATTAAAATAATTAATTTTGTGGAAGTTCAGTGGTAATGGGTAAAGTGAAAAAAGAATGAAGTTCAATTTTTTTTAATCAAAAAACCTTTCTTTTCATAAAAATTTAATTTTTACATCATTTGAGGTAGAAATATATTTTCTCATGAACATAATAAAAAAATGAATGAAATTCATATTTAAAAACTGAATTTTCTCAACTAAACATCCAAATTTTATTTTCTTAAATTATATTTTCAAAAACTTTGGCAACAAAACTCCCCTAATGGATGATAAATAAATATCTGGATATAGTTATTTAGACTGAGGTCATGATTTCACTTATAAATCAAATAAATAAAAATAAAAATTTTTATTGAAATGTGAGTATTTTTGACAATATACAAACAAAAAAGATAAAATAAGAATAAAATTTAAAAATTTTAATTTTTATTAATTTGGTCTGCTATATAGCCGGTCAAAACAGTTATTTTCCATCTCCAATGATCGTGCGAAGGAACTTTGACCTAAACAATAGGAAAAGTAGTATTGTGCGTGACCAACAACAGTGAAATTTAAAGTGAAGTTAATGATTGCAAGACCTCAAATCTTGACTTGGTTTATGGAATTTAACAATAAAGAAAAGAAATGATGATTTCAAGTTGAAAAATCCTCATCATTTTTGAGGATCCATATAATGATTTCAAGCACTCTAATGTGCGAGACTATTATTAAGCTTTTTACTCTCTCTCTATATATAAATACATATATGAAAAAAGTATTTTTAAATCAATTTATACATATTAAAATTAAATTTCCTTTTCAAATAATTAAGGGCGTAAATTGTTTTTAATGAAATCAAACCTTAATTATTAAGAAGGGAAATTATCAAAGTTAACAATTAGACTAATCTTATTGATTAAATAACTTTTGCTATTTAGATTAGTTTGATTGAAGAGACCTTAATTCAATATCTTCTAGCATGCTTAGTTAAATGATTACGAGTGTAATTATGAGTCCTTGTTGGTTTACAAATTAATCTTTCCTCCCTTTCAGTATTATTATTATTATTATTATATTGTCTAGCTATCATGAAGTTAACTTTAACTTATTATATTTGCAGATCCATCATGTTTTCCTTCATCATGCAATATATGCAATAACCAATATTTAATGATTGAAAATAATATATATATATATATGCAGGTTAACTTTCTTTGGTCCTTTGCTCCACAGGGATGAGAACAAAAATAAATATATATTATTTTTTATTTGAGCCAAAGCCAAATATGCTGAAATTACATTGTGGATTTCCTGAAATTTATATTATCAGCTATTACTATTATGGTTGAAAAGACACAAACCGAAGATCCATCACTTTCATTTCCAACCTGAGTAAAACGACGGATCAAACTCTATTTAATTCACAAAAATATTTTTCTTTAATATTAATTTGATGGGCCTTCTCAATGAATAATGGAAAAGAGATCTATACCCAAACACTGACAGTCCTACACATAGGACTCTTTTATGCATTGCTTACATAAATGAATTCAGCACATGATCTAGAATTTTTTGGATCCACAAAAATATAAAAAAACTTTAAACTGAATAAAAATTTAAATCATTGAGTTTTATTTTAATTGCAATAAAGTGGTCTTTATGATTATAAAATTACAAATCCAAATCTTAATAATAATAATTAAAAAAAAAGTGAAAATGAAAATCAATAACTCATAAAGGCAATGCACATGTTCTTAGTACTTGGAGCAAAATCTTTAAAAATTTCAAATAATGTTTTCACAAATTACAATTTCAAAATGTTAAACTCTATACATGCCTTTCTTAATTCACAATTGGGAAAAACTAACTGTCAACATAGGATTATGAAGATCACCGAAAGCCGATTGGCAAAAACTGTAGGGTCCATAATTTCATGCTCTAGCAATAGCAATCAATAGAGATTGAATTGGATCATCATCATTCGTGCTGATTGATTTAGTCCCATGCTTGTGTAATAGGGTCCACCTTCACATTCGATTCCTGCCTCCTTTCGTGATCGTCTTTTTAGTTTAAGAATCCCGGAACAAATGAATCTCGTAAAATTCGGTGAAATTAATTTGAAAATTCAAAATTTTGTATTTGAAATGAAAAAGAATACAGATTTAAATTATATCAATTGAATTTTATAGAATTAAATATGTCTAACTCAAATTTTATTAAAATTGATGGAATTTATAAATGGATTCTATAAAATTTGCATATAAATTCCATAAAATTAACTATTAAAATATTTATTGACAAAATTACGCTCCATTGTAAACTCTACTATTTTTACTCTTTGTTTATTTTCTTTGAAAAATTTCAAACTAGTAATAACATTTTTTTTTTTGAAAGGAAACAATTATTTTTTTAAAATCTAGTAATAACTAAGTTTATATTTTTACTTTTTTTTTTTTTTGAAAAATGTCATACTAGTAGTAACGTTTTTGAAATCTAAAAAATTGAGTACCGATAATTTTTTTTAAATTTATTGGAGGCTTTTATAAACCAAAATAATACTACGGGCTACACAATAAGGAGTAGTCCTCTCCTTTGCTCATCAAATTGATGATAACAACTATGGTTGAGAGGTCTCGATCCTTACATAAGTAAGAAGACCAACCAGACCTCCACCTGATTGACATTGTTAATTGTTTTTAAATGTAATTAAAAACAGTGGTAATATTTTTAATATTTTTTAGTTTCCAAATTAATTACTTTAATCAACAAGAATTTTTATATCAGTTAAAAATAATTATTATCATGAAAGTTACTGCTTATATAATTAATTAATTAGCGTAAATATTCGTGTATTTATTTATATGAAATTTATTATTTATATTTTAATAAAAAAATATTATATTGTATATAATAAATATAGTTAGTGTTTTTGTTATTTATTTTTGTTAAGTTATTTTCTCAAGGGTATTATAAGAAATAAAGACAAATGAATTTTCATATAAGAATTTATTTCAAATATAATGTTATAGAATTTCATTAAATTCCTTATTTTAAGTTATGATATATTAATCATAAGCAATTTATTTACAAATGAATTCTACATTCATGATTCATTTGTTCTAAATATAGTGTAAATATTGGGGAGTAAAAAGTTTTTAAAAAATGGAAGACAAAATTGAGGGTCAATATGGATATTTATGAAAAAAATACATAAAATTTGGGGGAATTTTTGATTTTTTAGAAAATTTTGGAGGATAAATATGAAAGTTTTTGAAAATTTTAATTCTAAAAATTTTAAAAGGGAAAATATGAATTTATTTGAATTATATATATATATATATATATAAGTTTTGTAAGACTTTTATCTACTAAAAGAATTATATTGTGTTTATTCCTAAAAAAAAATTATTTTATTTTATATACCAAAAGAAAAGGTAGAAGCTTACCGTGCTCCTTCTGTGCTTAAATTATTTAGGTTGATGAATTTTTTTTTTTTTTTGGTTGGAAAATATTGGATGTACACATTTTATAATGTAGAAAGTACAAACACATCATCTTCGTACCTTCCAAATCATTAGGGAGAACTTACTTTCTGCATTGATATAATTTGTGATGGTGCGGTGTAAAGTTTTTCACGCTTTGATCCATCCCTGAAATTTCAATAATTATTTATATTAAATTGGAATTTGAATATAATATTTATTAATTAATGTAAGGAGAGAGAGGCTCAGAGAAGATAAGTTAAACATTTTGTTTTGTTTTGTTTTGAAGATGAAGCAAGATTCATCAATCTATTAAATAATTAAAATTATTAAAATGACATGCTCTTGAAAAAAAAAAAAAAACAAAACAAAATTTTTAAATATAAAATAGGAAAAAATATTAGTAGTTTTTTATTTTTGATGTCTCATGTATATATATAATATATATATTAAGAATTTGGTTATTTCAATTATTTTCTTCAAATTTTCTAATTATTTCAAATATTTTTAATTCAATTCAATTTGATTTTTCTTTTAAAATAACCCTATTTTTGTTTTTAAAAAAATCAAAACTCATCTATTGCTAAACCAAATTTTTTTTTTGAGGGAGGTGATTCAAACCTGAATTTATTGTTAAACAAAATTTTAGCTTCTCCAAACTTTAAATGTGTATTGAAATTTTATTAAAATAAGACTTTAAAATACTTACATGTTCAACTAACTTGTTTGGTTGAGATATATGAGTTTTTTTTTTTAAAAAAAAAAAGAAATTGAAATTTTAAGAGAAATAATAATTAACGATATTTAGGGTTTTTTTTTTTTTTAAAAATTTAATGCCTGCGAGCTAGACACGTTACCCATCCTCTCATTGCAATTTCCAAGTTGCAACCATGCATAGCCCACCCCACTATCTCATGCACACGCTACTTCCTATTTATAGCTAAAGGCTCTTCAATTCATTTCTCATGTTTAAGAATTACAAAATCGCAATTAAATTGGATTAGTTAGGGCACTAAAATTTCTAGAATCAAACATAACGATATGGTACATAACAAGTGTCCATATTCTTAATTATGTACAATAATTATTGAAAATATAAAAGGACAAAAAAAAAAAAAGTTGCAACCCATTTCATATGTTCACATATATTAAAGTAAATGAACTAATAACGCTGTAAATTAGGTGGTGGTTTAGTTGATCTTTTCACTTATATATGAGAAATAAGAGGTCTTGAGTTCGAGTTATCTTGATCACAAGTGTTTTCACTAATTTGGTGAGTCAAGAAGCTACTATTATTACTTTTCTAGAAATTTATATTGTAAGAAGCTACTCTTTTTTTTTTGTTTGTTTTGATAAATTTTAAAAATTTAAGGCTATGTTTATAGTACATAAAATAGAATGAAATAAGAAATGAAAATAAGCATTTTAACGACAAACTGTGTGGGTATAATCTCATCAAGTGCATATTATCTTCAATAAGCTTAATGCAGCAAATTTTTTCACAATATATACGTAGGACATTTTAGACATTTTAATCCGTTATATTGAAAATTATGTCAGATTCAATTCCATGTCATGATCTTAGTATATAAGAAAATAGATTAAATCACGGGTTTTAATCAATTCAAAGCACTGAATGAAAAAGAAAATTGGTAATTGGTATTGTGAATGGCAAGTTTAATAAATTGATTGTTCTTTAAATTTATGTGCAGTGTCGTACTCGTATGTAGACCTTAACCTTGAAGTTATTCAAAATGAATTGATTGGAGGGACCCCAATCTATGTTTTCTTTCTCTTACTTCTTCTTCACTAACCCACCATTTCTGTCTCAATTCTTGAAATATCAATATATTAGTGTGAATATAAATTAATTTCTTTCTTTCTTTTTCTTTTTTTTTCTTAAAGTTCAAGAATCCCAAAATTCTTGATTCATTATTCCATCATTCTTGACCATTACTTTTTCCCCTCTCCCTTCTATAAATAGGGAGGCAACAAGGCCCCTAAATCAACACACAAACACAAGAAAAAGAGTTCTTTTAGTTCATTTCTTTAGAGAAGAGAAGAGAAGAGAAATCCAAGAAAATGAATATCTCATATGTGGCAATAGCGAGCACTCTTGTGGTGCTAGTGTTGGCTTATGAGGCAGAAATGGCAATGGGTGTAGTTTGCAACCCAACAGAGTTAAGTTCATGTGTAGGTGCAATCACATCAAATACTCCACCATCTGTAAAGTGTTGCAGCAAAATCAAAGAACAAAAGCCTTGCCTTTGCCAATATCTCAAGAACCCTAATCTCAAGAAATTCATCAACACACCAAATGCAAGAAAGGTTGCTAACACTTGTGGAACTCCTTTTCCTAAGTGTTAGATCTTTCAAAATTTGAAAAATTTGGTATGTGTCTAATAATATTCAAAGTAGTGGAGAAAGCACTTGTTGTGTTAATTGAAATAATAAGTTGGGTCATGTCATTGTCATGTGTGCCTAACTTCCTTCTTTTGGTTTGGTTCATCATTCTATCATGTTCTACTAGCTAGTTGGAAAGCCACTATCTTGTAATGGGTGTTATCATAATTAATATTATGAAAAGTTAATTATTTCTAGTTAAAATTCATTGCTTTTTCAGTCTAATTTTTAGTTTAGACGAATTCTAACTAGCAATCCAAGATTTAAATGGTAACATTGTTTTTTTCTTTTTTAAATATTTGCATTATAGAAAAGAAAAAAAAAATCAGTTTACAAATTTACAAATATTTTTTTTTAAAAAAAAATTTAAATAGTTGGATATAGAACAATTTTTAAAGATTTTTAAGATTATTTTAACTGTTAATATTTATAAATTTACAAATTGGGTAAATAGGTATAAAACAAGAAAACTTAATCAATGTGAGACTTCTTATCCTTATCATGTATCTAACAAAAGCTAAGTCAATTCCATTGAAAAGCTTAAATAAGGACAAAGGAAAGCAAAAAGGCTTTATAGTCATTGGGGACAGATGTAACAAAATTACATAAATTAGGGATTAGTTTGCATCCCATGGATCACCTAATCAAAACAGGGCTTAATGGGTGAGGTTTTAACTTATGCAAGTCTACCTAATGAAAATTGAAAATGATGGCCAAATGACAAGGCCTAATTAATGACTCTTGAACCCTAATAAAATGAATTATTTGATCAATAAGTGCATTATGGGTTATATCCACCCAGCGGATTGATACAAGGCAATAAAACAAATTGCATTTCGATCTTATTGTATTACTCCAATTTGTTTTTTGAATTAACTCATGATTATTTTCATAAGAATTTCGAGTTATTCTAACCTTTTGCAAAACTTTTGTCAATAGTAGTTAGCTAACAACATGGCCTTGAGCCACAGATAGTTGCAGAGTCCTGAGTCTCAACCAACAATAAATCAACCATTTGTTTTTATTTCGTTATTGTTCGCAGCTGAGTTTGCACTAATGTCAAGAAGCAATAGCTCTTTTAGAGTCATAAATAACACACAAAAAAAAAAAAAAAAAAAAAAAAAATTAACACACTTCCAAAAAAAAAAAAAAAAAAACAAAATCCCAAAACAAACAAATCCAAAGTTTTTTTCTATGAAGGAAGATATTTATAAAGAAAAACCCTATTATGAAATGTGAAGATATATCCAAAAGTCTAGAACCATCTTCTCTTTCATGCAGGAGTGTAGCACAATCGGTCACACCAAAAAAAAAAAAAAAAAAAAAAAAATCCCAAAACAAACAAATCCAAAGTTTTTTTCTATTGAAGGAAGATATTTATAAAGGAAAAACCCTATTATTGAAATGTGAAGATACTATCCAAAGTCTAGAACCATCTTCTCTTCATGCAGAGTGTGCACAATCGGTCACACCACAACTTAACCGAAAGAAATATAAATTAGAATGCTTGGAGAGAAAACTCCAAAAATTCATTTACATGTACAGAAATAGGAAAACGAACAACTACTTACAAACAAATAATGGCATGTAGTTCTTACAAATGTAGAAGGTTTGAAATTGGGTTCCATCCCATAATCCATGGTCTCTTATCTGTTGGTAGTGCAAAATTGAGCTCAAACATCTCCTTTGACATATTGCCTCCCTCACAAAAACCTACAAGCTTTGCCACTATCTCAGCACTCTCTTGTACATGCCTTGCATCATTAGGATTTGTCCATAGTTTGTTCACAAACTGCAGCTTCCTCTGCTTTCCCTCAAGTGGAACATCCCATTTCATGTACAGTGCATCTCTCTCTTCCACAGTTAAACGTGAGGTTAACCTTTTTGCTAGGAACTCCCTTTCACGTCTCAATGCTCTAATACTACAAAATCACATATATAAAAAAAAGTTATAAATGGGGTCGATGCAGATATTAATTTATACTTGTTAAATATGGAAATATGAAAATTGGACTCATCTGACACCGGACAAAATGTGTCTTCTAGGTTCATTAGATAGAGGAGGAGAGGGTACCATGATGATAGAGATATTGTAGGCTCATCACCAGCGCGAGCTGGACTTGTATTGCCAATTTCTGCCAAATGGTCCTGCAACCAAGTCAAGCGCCTAAGCTCAACTTCCATGTATATCTGATCAGCAGGATCCCCTTTGAACAGCAAGTAAAACTGTGTCCTATGGATGATGGATACATAGCACACATCCCATAATTCAATGATCTGCTGCCTCTGCTCCCTGAAAGTTACTTGCCAGGAAACTTGAGGCTCTGCTGGCTCATTTATGTTCTCCTCATCTTCAATATTGTACCCAGCTGCTTCATTTGCTTCCAGCTCAAGAACCTACAGAGATGTCAAACGCAGATGTCTAATGAATTTTTCAATGTTTTGGATAAAAAGAAATGAAGATAGAAAAACGTGAAACAATCTGAAATGTACCTGGCAAACAAGCAGCTGCTTTTGGTATTGCAATTTGGCAACACGTTCTTTCAGTTCAGTTACATATGCTCTTATGCTTCTTACATTCTCCTCGGCCGCATTTTGAAACATCTTTTGCATTTTCTTCATATTAACTGAACTAGAACGTCGGTAGCCTGGAGTGCCTTCCTTCGATGAGACATCTCCACCTTCTTCACTCTTTGTAGGAGTCTCTTTCTCATACTCTGGTAGGGTCTCACAGGAAACAATGTCTTCATTTTCTGGTGCTCGATTTTCAATGTCGTTTTCCAAAATTTGCTTGGAGGTTGATAGAGGTGAGCAGGGAGATCTTATAAAGTTTTGCCTATTGGCACCATTACTTGAAGCCAATGGAAGTATCTTTTTCTTCTTCTGTTGATTTTTAGCTTTGGATGTTACTTCACCGGTTGATTGTGAATTATTGCTTGGAAGAGACATTACCAATTTGTCTATGGACTTCTGCACATTTTCCAATTGCTCTTCAAGATCTGCAATAGTACTGCCCTGTGAATGAAGTCTTGTTATCTCGTCTTTGAGGTTGGCACTAACACTTTTGTTAGGGGCTACAACACTTCCAATTTCTACTTCTTTGGGGACTGGTGGAACAGAACGCATTTCTCTTATTTCTGCTTGCAGTTTAGCAATTGTCTCTGCTGCATCTTGGTTACCTAGTCTATGACAAGCAACCTCCTTTTGCAGAACTTCTAAAGCTCTATTAGCTTCTTCTCCAAGTTGCTCCTGAAGATGTTCAAGTTTGCGGATTTCATGCATTAGAGTAAAAGGTGCAGCCGATGATTGTCTCATAGACTGCCTTAGCATAGTTTTTCTTGTTCTATCACCACGGCTTAACTCTTTGTTGTCAAGTTTTGGCAACAATGCATCAGAATAGGAGAGACACTTCTTCACTGATGGACGCGGTGATTCTGATGCGCTCAAAGCCTGCATTTCAATAGCAAGTTGAGCATACAGCAGAGAGAGAGAGAGAGAGAGAGAGAGAGAGAGAGGGATACCTCTTGGTCCTCTTGAAGTTTTCTCCGCAACTCATCCACTTGAGATTGTGCCTGATCTCTCTGACGTCTCAGTTCTTCAATTTCCATCTCCATCTAGACGGAAGAATGTAATGAGATTAAATATGTGCCTTCATAACCATGATCACAAATTGCAACAAACTAAAACATTCTGTGGCAAATCACCTGTTGGATTATCAAGTCTTTCTCCTTTGAAGGTTCAGGAGTGCGCAGCTCTGCTTCCAGCCTGGCTACTTCCTTCTGTAGATGTTTTACCAGTTGCTTGTCTGATACAACCTGAAAAAAATTGTATACAAAGGAAAATATGGAAAAGATCTCAGGATTTTTGTTGTTAAAGTTGGAAGGAAACTCAAATAAAAAAGATAAGGAACAAAGAATAAGTACCATGTTGACATGGGCATTGTTAGTGACTTCTTTTGCTCGTGTGGCAAAGAAGAGGGTGTTTCTAGATTGTTCAACATGGCTGAGCGCTGGACTTAAGGTACATATGATAGCAGTACGGGCATTTCCACCAAGTGAATGCTGCAATATGCGAGTAAGCTTCGAGTCCCGGTATGGTATATGACCACTTCTTTTCCCAACACTACAAAGGGAAAGAAGATTACAAATGTAGACAAGGAGAATCAGTTACTTTATATTGTCTGAAAAATAACATAAACAGGCAGCATTTTTTATTTCAAATTTTTAGCAAATTGAACTTAGTTTGGTGATTCTGATAATGATTTTCGATTCTATATTAGTTCATAATGGTCGGGTCTCATCCTTCTATTGAAATATGTAGGAGTCGATATTATATGAAATTTTCCACGTATAAGAAGTCCATAATAGTGCCTTGACAAGCAGAAGGTTAGAAGTATGGTAGTAAAAGACTCTTACCTGAGCTTTCTAATCACTGTTGTCAGAGTCATCAAACTAAGATTAATGTGGCAACCTTCTCTAAGCCTGGCTCCGTCTGCATGTGTCTGTGAGGCTCTTTCACTTCCAGCGAGGTCTACAAAATTCTGCAATCATGGAAGGGTCCCAAGAGTTATATTAAAACCAGTGATTCTTAGTGATTTGTGGAAACAAGGCACAATCTTGGCTTTTTAATTTTTACCAGGCTTGCAACGAAAGATCTCACACAATCTGAATTTTCGCGGAGAGTACTTTCTATTGTCTGTAGCCACAAAAAAAGGTATTCAGAATTTCAGATATTAGTTTGCACAGGGAAACTGCTGCTGAAGCGTATCCATAAAAAGTATGATCCGTGAAATCTTACCAGCCTTATAATTTGGTGTGATCGTGAGCTGGTATCATTAAGGGCAGTTTCACCAACTTGCCTTTGGGCTACAGCGGAATCAGTGAATAAGTAAATGAGCTTGCATTGGTATACCAGGCTAGACAGCAATTGACAAATAAAGGAATCCACAAGATTACCTTCACAAATACCGATCAGATGCCTTAAATGCTGATCATTACTTGCTGTTTCTTCTACCAACTTCTCAACCACGGTACCTTTCTGCAGGTGCGAATCGCAAGAAATCCAACAAATGAGAAAGGGAAGGGAAGACCTCAGAGAAGCACAAGAAATCTACTCTTAATAGAATATACCTCTGGATCATCTAGAAGCTTGAGATTTCGACCAGATTCTGAATTAAGCAGGTCCCTAACATTTTCATTATAAATTTCCAGTCCAGAAATCTTAATTGTAAAATCTCTCTCTGGGGTCTGCAGCCAGGCCAAAAATGAAATTTCAGTTCAAATACAAAGATCTTCAGTTTTATTTTAATTGAAACATTTAAAGATTCAATACCTAAAGTTTAAATCAGAATCTACAAATGATATTACAGGATAAACAATAATTCTGATAAAGCTTACGTTCATTATATGCTTATAGATGTCATTAACAGCTTTCTCAGTTATTCCTCTCATAGTATATGTCTTCCCACTGCTAGTTTGCCCGTATGCAAATATGGTTGCTGCAATATAAATACGAACCCATTTTTCAGCAAATATTGAAAATTAAACATATTATTTAAAGGGGAAACCCAAGATATACCATACAGAGATGAAGTATATACGTTACCGTTAATACCCATCAATGCAGACAAAGCAACAGTCTTTACTCCATCCTCATATACAGTTTCAGTTAAACAAGTGGGGCCAAAAACTTTATCTGAAAGAACAAAAACCTCAATAATATTATAATATGATACGAGAAACATAGAAGACTACACAATCTGCAATTAAAACAACAATACTCTAAATAAAAGGGCAATATGTTATGATAAGTTACCAAATGTAAAAGGGTTCGATTGAGCTGTACGTTCCTGAGTTGGTGGCTTGAATACAATGGTGTGATCATCGACACATTCCCATGCTACTTGGTCTTTGGCTAACTGCTCTTTTTTGTTTAGAGGTCTTAATCGGACAGTAACAACAATTTTCTCTTCCTTTGCTTTGGGGCCTCCAGGAGTCGTTGCTGGTGTCCTGTCAAACTTAGATGCAGGTGTTCCTGGGGTTCTGACAGTCATGTCTTTACAATAATTTAAACTTGTCCTCTAATTGAATTCAGAAAGATCAAATAGAAGCACAAACTTATGCCTCTCACAGGAGAGGCTATGAAATTTATGTCTCGTCTCTCTCTTGGTGCAGAAATTGGTTAAAAATCAGGAGCTGCCAAATCTAGTATTGTCCAAGAACAGGGCATAATAGGTTAGTTAACGCATGGTTAATTTCAAAAAGTTTTCCAAATAAATAAGCAGCTATATCTGTTCTTTTAAAAAACAGAAACAATCATTTAGTCAAGCACTCTTACAGAAATAGGATCAACTAGAACTCAAAATAAAGCATAGTTCATATAAAAAGTGGAGTAGATTGAATTAGATCAACATTTAAATCAAGTTGTTCTTACAAGTCATAATCCGATATCAAAGTTCTGTTTCAATTAAGAAATGCAACAACCAAAAATTTCAAACAAGAAAAGTCCCCGATTCGGCTTGATTAAGGGCATCAGACAAGTATGCTGAATAATGGCCTTATAGTACAATTCTTTTAAATCCAAATAAGAACATAGCCAATTAGTGATGGATTTGATTCGAGTGCACAAACCCAATTCCTCCCTAAGAATATTGAAATTTTAAATCCTGGAATTGCATACAGGTTGCATCATCAAATTTAATTAAGAAAAGGAAATTTCACAATGTTTTGTTTCAGTTTTTCCTAATCTTCTATTTCCAAACCATAATTTTTCCGACCAAATAAAGCAATCACATCAGCTATCAATCTATTTAAATCGCTAAACAAGCTCAAAAAAAGGTTTACCTGAACCAGTTAAAGAAAAAAAGAAAGAAAGTAAGTAAAATAGGAAAGTTCAAGAAACCCTACGCCATTTATGCATTATCTACTAATTCTAAAACAATCAAAAAGAAAAGTAATTAACATTCCATTTTAACCATAATCTAACCTAGTCATATAAGGCAACTTCATGAAAAACAGAGTTCCCTTCGATTTCTGTACAATTTAAGCTCAAATTATAGGGAAATGAGTTAAATAAAACAAACAAAAAAAGGAAAGAATACTCACAAAAATCTCCCAAAACAAAACAAGCAGATCTGCACTGCAAGCTCGCCAAAGAGCCAATAAAACTAATCAGAACTAAAGAGAGAAAGAAGCGTTAGAGAAAGAGAGAGAGTTGCTTTTGGCTCTTCGATTGATTTGCAGGCTTCGAAGAAGAGTAATGTGCTTTGTTTGTCTTCTCTTTATGAAATGTACGTTTGTGACCAATGACATTTGAATTGAAGGCCTAACGGCTAGTTTGTTTTTGTTTTCTTTTTTCTTTTTGGAATTATTTATTTTTATTTAAATTCTTTTGTCACCGCCGATTAATGACGATTAATATTATTTAGAGTATATTCTGTAGTGCTGTATGCGTTTCGTGTTTTAATCGGCGAGTAAACCGGGACCCGGTTTCAAAGTTTTTGAAAAACGGCGATTTTTGTAATTGATTGGTTAATTGAATTTTTCTTTTCTGGAAAAGGGACAAAAAGGAAAGAAAAATTTGCACAAGGGCCCTCCACGATGAGTCGGCCTTTTTATGCTCTTCTGGTTATACTTTGCAATTTTGTTTTATGTACCCATGAAACTTTAATATTTATACTTTTAACCTTATCTTTTTGTTTTTTCTCGTTTGGTCTAGTTGTCTTTCGCTAATTAAACTAGAACTACAAATAACTTCAATTAGCAAATTCGTTTTTCAAATTACAATGTCATTTTCTCTATATTTTTTTCTTGTAATAACAAAAATATCTTCATTGTGATAATAGAAGAAAATATGTTGGAATGACTACTAAAATTTAAATAAGAGAAATAGCAAATTTTAAATTGATTCAGGAATTAGATCCAAATTTAAATAATATGCTTCATTTAAATTTATATTTAATCTAAAAAAGACCTGAATTCAAATCATCTAAATATAATGAAGATTAATTCGCTAATCTACTTTTTAACCAGTTAACCTAATTTTGATTGTGACATGTTTGACGCAAAGTAAATAAATAAAAATATATAAATTTTTTATAAATATTACAGTATTTTTAAAAGAAATTTCAATATTATGATGTTATAAAAAATTGTACATCTACTAAATATTTTTATTATTCCTTACAAATAACTATTTTTATTATAATACTCCATGGGTTTATAAATATAAGTCGTTTTGAAGATATTAAAGAGTAATTGATGAAATTTTTTTCAATTTTATCCTTATATATATCAAATACAATAATTATTGATGATACAAAATAAATGGTATTTAGTCAAATTAATAAAATTTTTTATTGTAATTAATTTTTTAATTATTGTGTAAAAATCTTAAATGACTTATATTTATGAACGGATGAAATACAATTAATTTAATTGTCTATTTTCTCAGGTTTCATATATAAAAATAAAATAAAAATAATTTAAGTTGTGATAATCCACTTATAGTAGATAAAAATAAATATTTTATTATAGAAATTAGATTTAAACTCCCAATCTAAATAAATATTATGAACTTTTTCCAAATTATATATTTATATTGACCAAACAATTGAGAGGAAAATTTTCCATAATAAAAATTAATATCTGATTTGTAAATAAAATAAGTTGTTTATCATTATTTTTTTAATTATATCACCATTGAATACTATGTCGATTATCATATTAGTTAGAAAATAATAATATACTTAAAACATATTTCATATTACTTGCTTTATGAATATTAAATTAAGTATATTATTAAATAAATATTAAATTGTAATACTAATTAAAGTAACGAAAATTACGTTTTTGTCTATCATTATAATTTATATAATGCGAAAATTATTATTTTAGAAGGAAAGCTGAAATTGTACTTGAAATTACTTTATATATGAAACGACCCGAAATTTCAATTTCGTAGAATTTTCATTTAAAAACTAAAATTTTTATTTCAACCAATGAGATTATACCAACTAGTATTTTATTATTGCTAAATTGGACCCATAAACCAATTTGATTTTTCGAAAACCAAGCAAATTGAGCCATATCGTTGAATCAGATCAAACCGGTTCGAATCGAACCGGAATGATCTAGAAAACCGACATACTTTCTTTCTTTCCTTTTTCTTTTTTTTTTCCTCTTTTCTTCTCCTTCCCTTTGTACTTGAAATTACTTATATATGAAGACGACCCGAAAGGTTCAATTTCGGAATAGGAATTTTCATTTAAAAAACTAAAATTGTTTATTATTCAACCAATGAGATTATACCAGACTAGTATTTTATTATTGGTAAATTGGACGCCATAAACCAAGGATATTTTTCGGAAAACCAAGCAATTGAGGCGCATATCGTGTGGAATGGCAGATGCAGAGGGAGGCGGTTCGAAGGATCTTAACCGGAATGATCTAGAAAACCGACGATACTTTCTTTCTTCCTTTTCTTTTTTTTCCTCTTTTTCTCTCCTTCCCGTTTGGGCGAAAGCGCGCCGCCGCGACCGCTCCTCTCTTCTTCCTGCCCTCCAGCGATTTCCGGCGACCGTTTCACCACCGAACGGTTCCGAGTCCTCCCCTTCATCGACGGCAGCTTCTCCCTCTCCTTAGTATCGTCTCCGATTTGGCGAAGCATGGAATCACGAGAAACGAGTCGCGATTCCATTTTCACGCGAGGACAGTCTTTTTGCATCTGCTTTCACCTTCAAGTTTTCCGACATGTTTCCAGTGCTGAGCGAAGTCAAATCCCCATACATCATCAGTTTAATTATGAAGTCCGGGTGTGGGAGTGGCAGGAAGAGTGGAGGTTTTGAATATGAATAAAAACTATTGCGATAAATCTAGACGCGTAGCTCCACGTGCATTACGCGTGTTTTTAGGAAGAGAAGAGAGAGATGTTGAGTCTGTCTCTAATTTAGCTTTAAATTATTAGCTGAAGTTTAAGTATAAGTTTAGGCATGAACAAGAATTTTAGTTAAGAAGTAGATATAGCGATCGATTATTGAGCAGCAACGATTATCGGCAGTTAACTTGATCTATTGCAAGGATATTTTATTAAAGGGTTAAAGCTACTGGGGTTTAGGCGAATGGAATAGAAATTTCTTGAATTTTTCTCTTTTGAAAAAATTTCGGGTTTTATAAAAAAAAAAAATTTGGAATTTTCTATATTGGGTATGGTTAGATTATTGCGTTTATTATAAATCCTTGTGAAGAATTAAGCATTCTTTAGGTTTAAAAATAACTAGTTAGCTATCATGGTCAAAGTTTCTCGGATATCCCTAGGAAGGAGGAAGAATTGTTTCCAATTGAAATGAGTTATAAACTGAATTTTTATGAAAAAAACAAGAGGCAAAAAACCAGGGACGTATATTGGGGTACTTAATAGGAAAATTTCTTGAATTCCTTGATGCTAGCAGTAATTATTTAGTTGATCTTGAATTATAGTGTTTGGGATGGAGATAGCGAAGTCAAAACCCAAGTTCTTAATAGCGATATGAGCTCAAAGCGATATGAGCTCAAGTTTAAGGAAAAATATATTTTTCTTGGGCACAGTAGCTATTTCAGGTACTTCGTACCATTTTAAATAATTGGTATGGAAACAGAAGTATGTATGTATATTTATATTTTCAATACTCTTATGTTGGTTAGTGTTGGTTACTGATTGATAGTAATATTCTTGCAAATTTAACGATTCAATTGTAAAACTCTTTAGCTATATCTAGAAGTGGTATCTTTATGTCAAGACGGAGAAATTTATGAAGCTTTAGTTATATGTTTAAGTTTTGAGCTGGGTTATCTAGTAGAAGTATTTATTAAATTGTAATTTAATTGAAATGTCAGTTCTTAATAGTTAGTCTAGAACTTTAATAAATGTTTAATGTAATGATATTTATATATAACTTAAGCAAAGAATTATTTGATAACATTTCCAGCATTAGTTGAAGGTATTTTAATTTGTTAAATTATGGTTGATTGGTGATTATACATTGGAGCATGGGTATTTGGTTTGTTCGATTGACCCGACGGTATGGGTTGTGTGTATTGATTGAGAAAATATATAATAAATACTGTTTTATCTAAACAGGTGGATAGTCCAAATTATAGTGGGGAGGTCTTGTCGAAAATTCATTAGAACTTAAACTAGTTTTAATTATAAGCATAAGTTAAAAAGTTTATTAGATTAATTCTATAACCTAATGCATAATTAAATAGAGTGCTCTAATTATTTATTTATTATCTTTAATTCATTTAATTATTAATATTTACTTATTTTCATGTATGTTTATTATTATCATTTATTTTATTTTGTTGTTTATTGTTAATGGTTATGATTTAATTATTTAAATTTCATTTGAGAAACAGATGTCTAATTTGTGCATTGCCATTACGATGTTCCAACTGAATCAATATGTGTCTGCATTTGATTGCAATGTTGATTAATGTGTGTTGTGAAAATGCTATGCTTTGTGTGTGAATTGGATTGAATGGACCACCATGGGTTTGTGATGGACGGTCTGTGATATGGATCCTGAATACGATATGATACCTTGGGACCGTCGGCGGGAAATGGAGATCGGCACCGCCCCCTTTGTGAACCTGATGATATAGATTTATATTAGGATTTACAGGATGGCTTCTTGTTGTGCGCACCTGATAATCTAGAATTTGATGAAGGCCCCCGGGCCCAGGTGGCCTCTGTTGTGAGCCACTTGAATAATCTAGATTGGATGGAGACCACCGGGTTGCCTCCTGTTGATATGGAAAAGAAACGAGAGACTGGAAAAACAATGAGAGGACTGGTCAGTGAGCATTAGACCAGTTGGCCGTATGGGGGATCGGCTCCCTAGTGCACATGTACGAGAGGGCGAGCCATGTGTGAGGACGGCTCGTTTGGGTTTCAAGTGGTGCCACTGACTAATTACCACTTGCTTGATTACTTGAAAGTGACATTACGTGTGAGTGCTGGTATGTGTAATTTGTGTGACTGGCTGCGTGAGCATATAACTAGTCGGATGACTAGATTGAAATGTTTACATATTTGTGTGACTGCGTGTGTTGTGCAATAATTACGTGTGTTATGCAATAATTATTACTCCTTAGAAAACTCACATGTCTTGTTTGATTTTTCAGGAAGTAAGTTTTTCTTTGATTCGATTTAGGTTATGTTTCTTCGGCGCAGGGCAATAGAGAAATTTTTCTAGTTCCATAATTATTTAACTATGTAATTATATGTATAAAAAGCTATGTATACCAAATAGTTA